TGATGTGAGGACAAAGTCCCTCCGCCCCGTCTGTCTGTCTGTCTGAACACGATAAATTCAAAAACTACTATATAAACGGATTTTCATATGCTTTTTTTACCAATAGACTTTTTATTGTCTGGGTCAATTTCGAAAATTGGTACACATACATGTTGAATTAAAATTATGAGACATGTGTATCAAAGTTTTACCAAAATCAAGAGAGCCAAATAGATCGCGCAGGGTGACGCAGGGCGTGCGGGGGAGAGGGAGTTTTCTGCATTAATTACTTATAACAACAGGCAAAGAAATCGTTTTTTGTAGTTTTAACGCGAGTGAAGCTGCGGGTTTTGCTAGTTTATAATTATATATAGATTTTTATATACATATAAAGTTTTATAAAAGCCGCAGAAAAGTAAGTTACGCCCACATACGAGTGAGTATTAACTTATATTTTTACGTAACCCATAGAGTCCATATTTCATGTGTAATACATTCAAACCACGACCGTAAAGGGTGCTTCTTACACCTTTACATACACAGGCTGTTTAAAAAAAAAAAAAAAAAACAAAAATATTTCTAAATTTTTTGGACTTTATATATATTTATATCTATATACATAACAACGTCGGGTTAGTCACACCATTTATAACTCTTAGAACAGCTGGAACGATTTTTGATTTATTGGATTTGATCTTTGATCGTCCGGAACAGCATAATAACTATTAAGACATCGGAGAAGGCACAAAAAAAATTACATGGCTAACGCTGGTTAATAACTATTTATATCTATTTAAAACGTACCTCCCTAGGTACGTACACCCGAGCAAAGCGGGGGTAAGTTGGTAGTACATGCTTGTAATAAAAAGGTAAGATCTTTCATTGAATTACTGACTAAACACGAAATCTCGAAAACTAGTGACCATAAATGCTGAAAGGTATCATGTAGGCAGTTTATAGATAGGCAAACATTAACTAAAAACAGATTTTGTGAAAGGGCTGAAATAAAGGGGTCTAAAAGTTATATATATATATAGCTACATGAAAGACATCTTAACATATGATAAAATTGTAACTAACCCGAATCTGTACATTACATATTTTCTCTTCTCTTATTGAAATAGACATTATTATCGATACAGAGGCCAAGTCTATAGTTCTTAGAATTTTTGTCATCACGAGAAAACCACTGGACAGATTTTGATGAAATTTAGTATGATGATAGCTGGATACTTACTGGTTTTACATAGCTGGATACTTTTTACCGCGGGAAAATATCTCATTTCTGAGAAAAAATACAAAAACTACATTTTAAGAGTATACTAATATGTAAAACCTAAGAATTTGCTTTTTGGTCCTCTGAACGCTTATAAATTTGATAGATACATAATTAAACTAATTATTGATATTCTTATTAATAACTAAAGGAATTGACAAACTGAAGAGAAAATAGTACTAAAATGTTTTGCCTATTTATATACATCAAAGTTATCATGCCTTAAAAATATATAAAAAATATTATTTCCAAGACGTCCTTTCATAAATCAACCTGTATAGCCCCATAATAAAGCCTTCGACTTTTATAGCGGTTACGTGAGACAGGGTACAGGTTCACTTCTCGGTTGATGATATTTATGAGTTATATGTAATGTTAAATTATGTTGCAATGTATCATTTATATATTATGGGTTAATATGCATTTGCTGTGTGAGCGTGAACTAAACTGTGAAATGTAATGAAAATGCTTTATAAGAGCTTCAGGACAGATTTAAATAACAACTTAGAAATAATTGTTATTATTTTTGTTTTTTCTATACAATTCTTTATTGTATTTAATACTTTTTAACGTCCCACTGCTGGGCATGGGCCTCCCTTCAATACGAGGGAGATCAGTCCACCACTTTAGCCAAGTGCGGGCGGACTTCACATGCCTTTCGAATACTTGCTAGGTTCTCTCAGACATGTAGGTTTCCTCACGATGTTTTCCTTCACCGTAAGACAACGTGGTAATAATGTTGGAAATGATTCGCACATGAAAATATCATAAGCGCGAGACCCGGAATTTGAACCCGCTTCACTCGGTTTTTTTCTCGCTGAAACACATTCATTTATACGAATAATGAAATTCAACATGAGATGAACAGGATATGAAGCTGGATACCCAGCTATCGTTGCAGATCAAAATCTGTCCAGTGATTTTCTCGTGATGCGTCCCTAGACAAGCAGACAGACAAAAATTCTAAATATATAGTATTTATTTAGTAGTAGATTCGGCCTCTTTACCGATAATAATTACTATTTCAGTAAGATTTTCCAAAAAAAATATATAATCTACAGATTCGACTTAGTTATAATTTTATTGTGTAAAAATTAAAGTTATTAAAAGCGACTTAACAAAAGTCGTAAACAAACAGTTCCTCAAATCTACAATACTAATTATTTCAAGTGCCTTGTGTGTGCTTCGTAGTGCTTCTCCATCTCGACAGATTTACGATCCCGCTCAAGTGTTTCCGGACAGGAAAAGCCGTTACGTTATCCGGTTAGAAAGCTTATCCGTACGTACAGACCGACGAATGTCTATATATAGTATAGTATACCACAACTATTATAAATGAGAAAGTGTGTGTATGTTTGTTTCTCCTTCACGCTGTAACGGCTGGACGGATTTGGAATAACACTAAAACTCATCAATAACTACTAAGCAAAAAAAAGAAAATCGGTTGACAAACAGAGAAGAAAAAGGTACTGAAATTTTGCTATTTATATATAGACTATAGACACACCCTCGCTCCGCTCGGGTTCATCCCTTGGTACGTTTTAACAGTATAGATTTTTCAGAGATGAGATATTTTCCCGCAGTAAAAAGTATCCTATATGTTGACCCGGATAACCAGCTATCACCATACCAAATTTCATTAAAATCTGCCCAGTGGTGTCAGAAAGACAGACAAACATTCTAAAAACAATAGACTCGGCTCCTCTGTAGCGATAATAATGGCTATTTCAATAAAAAAACGTGTGTGTGTTATATATTATAATTTACATTTTCTAAAACATCGTCTTTATCATTACAATTACATCTAATTAAGGAACGCTGAAGAGTATTATAAGAATAAAATGATCAAAAATATTTGAACTACAAAAAAAACACTATAAAATGTAAAAAAAAATATATAAAAAAAAACATATTGTTTAGAGGCAAAGGTCAAAAAGTGTTCTGCCATCCAAGAAATAAGTATGGTATAATAGCACTATACTTAAAAAGAAAAACTTGTGTGTGTACTAACGAGTATGTACGCACGTAAGAAGTTATACTTCTTTGGCGTAACAGAACAAAAATAGATAAAGATGTCATCGTATGTCACAACTCTCTGTTTATAAAAGAAATGCAGCTAACTTCATTATGTCGCTTTTTGGCTGTCGATGTGCGCGCGCATCGTAAACATTTTACTCTCATATTTTTTTCCAAACGTGCCAAAAGAAGTATAACTTCAAAAATATTTAATGTACAGATTCGACACAGAATTTTATTATATGTATACATTATTAGTTTTTAAATAATCCTTTAACTAGCTGAACCCATTTTGATGAGACTTTATAGAAATATAGGGTAGTGAGTGAAATAAAGCACATAATACAAACCCCGCTTAAGTACCGTGAGGGTTGCTTTATACTTTGTCTATGAATAAAATTGAAGTTTAGCCAAAATTTATTGCGCGTTTTAAACGAATGTGTTGAATTTACATTTAATCTGAATTATGTTTTGTTTTATTCACCGACTTCGAAATGGGAAAGTTCGGCTTTATTTCTTCTTGTGTATACGTTGAACTATATTTTTTTTATTTACCAGCGACCCACTCCTTCTAGGTACGTTTTAACAGTTAGTATGAAATAGATAGAATATATAGAGTAGATATATATACATAAGACATATATTATTTCTTTCCAACTTAAACTTGACGCATTGTTGTAAATGGTACGTCCGCCACTATCAAAAGTAATCCGAAGTAGTGATTCCCATATAAAAATAAACAGTTCTAAACTTTTCCATTTTCCAGCTGTTCTTATGGGTTTTCCATATATCTTTTATACTCAAACCACCCCTGACACACTCCCAACGAAACAAAAAAAGAATTATTCAAATCAGTCCAGCCATTTTTGTGTTTTAGCGAGACTAACAAACAGAAATTGATTTTTATATACATAATACGAGTATATTATATTTAGTAGACTAACGATATACTATATTAAATGATGATGATGATATCTTCTTTTACATAGTAGTAGCCTAACACTATATTTTATGTATTCAGTACTTTTTAACATCCTACAGCTGGGCACGGTCTTCTCTCGATGTGAGAGGGATCAGGACATAGTCCACCATGCTGGCCAAGTGCGAGTTGGCAGACAGTGGTAGCCCAGTGGTGAAGCTTAGAAAACCAAGTGAAGCAGGTTCAAATCCCGGGTCTCACACCTCTGATATTATCATGTTAATTATTTCTAAAATGATTACCACATATCTAACGGTGAAGGATAACATCGTGAGGAAACCTGCATGTCTGTTCTGAGAGAACCTAACTAATTTCCGAAAGACATGTGAAATCCGCCAACTCGCACTTGGTCAGAGCGGGTTGACCCACCCCCAGCAGTGGAATGTTAAAAAGGCCTTAGTTATATTTATTATGTAGAAATAGAATAGAAAAAGATTAATTCAATTTTGACATTGATTTGTTTTTTTTTTAATATAAGTTTTATTCTAGATTCTAACCACATAGAAACCTATATGTTTTATTAAAATTTTAATGTATAATTTATTGAGCTGTTTCAAACTTTGATGAGGATACATAAATATAGTAGTGGAACTGCTTTAATGAGAGGTCATAATATGAGAATAATAAAAAATATATAATTATAAGCTTTGAGGTGTATTAAATACGTGGACGAATACGTGATCTAGTCTAATATTAATTGGTCGCTTTTCGCGAGTAAACCCGCGTGATGCAGTTGTTAATAAACAATCAAACCTTTTCGTTGCATTTTATTGTAGGCTTCATCAGGTACGGCACACCCGGCATCGGAAACATTGACGGCATCATGGCTGGCGCGAAAATCACTTTGACAGCTTGACTCTGACAGCCGCAGGCTTTTGACAGTTCCCCACCACACTGATTTGACAGTTCACCACTGGCACAGGATTTTGACAGTCCACTGCCACAGGATTTTGACAGGTCCCCCGCACAAGGACTTGGGTTATTGGTGCAAGACGTGGAAACTAGGCCGCAAGATTTTGACAGTACATCCACACAATCTGACAGTTCATTTACATAGATTTTGGACAGTCCAGTCGAACAGGGTTTTGGCTGTTCGGTGACACACGATTTTGATAGTCTACCACCACAGGATCTCTTTTTTAATTGATCACTAGAACAATGTTTTGATTCTATCACTTTAACAGTATCTTCGCATCCGTGATGACAGCAATGATGGCAATGTTTGACAGTATTTTGACAGTAATTCTGACATTCACCAGTTTGTATTGACGTGTTTATCATTTCAGTCCCACCATTGTTATTGTTTTTATACAATTTAGGTTTCTTCTGAAATTCTTTAGGGATCTCTAGAAGAGGGGTTTTTCTTTTCAAATCAACTGGAGTTTCTAGTAAATATTTAGGTTTGTCGTTTTCTTTAGTATTCGAGTTTTTGCTGAAGGGATGGACTAACAGAGTTTTCGTTGGTTTACTATTGTTTATAGTTCCGGCCCCGAGGGGCTCGTCGATGGTTGATGGATCCAATTTGATTGTTTTCGTACACTTTTTGCAATAATTTCCTCGTAATTAATGTTAGCAAAACACAATGTGAAGGTTCAATGAATTTTTGAGCAAAATTGTAACGAGGCCTAATTATAGAAAGCACAGACAGCGTTTAAACAAGACTTATTGATTGAAATGTCAAAAATATTACAAATGTCAATTTTTACGTAAACCGTCAAAATATAACCTTGACCTCTGTGATCTCACTGAAGTTTTTGTTTGTAAACAAACAAATAAAACAGAAAACACATGAAAATCATTAAAATTCACAAAAACTCAAAACGAAACAGTTAACAAGCAATCGCATTCACTTTAACATGGTGTTTTTTGAAGAATTTCATTGAAAATTTTGAGTTTTTTTCATAATTTACCACCAACGTGAGAGCGACACGTGTTGACGAGACGACGTCTTACTGAAAACTAAAGGAAAGCTAAAGGAGGGCTGGTGGGCGTGACTTCCGGGTAGGAGGTGCTAAGCCCCGCCCACTAAATCTAGGTTTTAAATTATTTCTCGGTCTAGACATTGACAAAATGGCGTTAGATTTTTAACACGTTTCCCTTTTTGTTTCGAATATGAATCGTAAAAATTATATTCTTTTTAAATAAAACTATCTTTTCGGATTTTGTCGCGGATTTATTTGGATTTTTGTTTCCCGACGTTTCGAATGCTTCGGGAAACAAAAATCCAAATAAATCCGCGACAAAATCCGAAAAGATAGTTTTATTTAAAATGTCAAATATTCGCGTAAATCTAAGAAAGTATTATATTCTTTTTCTTCAATCAAAATATTAAAAAAAAATTATAAATTGAAATATATTTTTTAAATCACTTTAAAAGAAATTCTACTCACCACATCATTTCAATTATAAACCTTTACAAATTTGTATATCCATCTGTCTTCAGATTTGTACCTAAACTCAAAAACTGCTGAATCTATTTTAATGAGACTTCTAAATCGTATACAATTATCATATTATGAGAATGACATGTATCCCTTTTTTAACGTCCCACTGCTGAGGGTGGGCCTATTTTTAACAAGAGATGGGATCACGAGGGGGATCAGGTCATAGTCCACCACGCTGGCTAAGTGCGGGCGGACTGCACATGTCTTTCGAAAACTCGCTAGATTCTTTCAGACTTGCAGATTTCCTCACCATGTTTTCCTTGACTGTAAGACAAGTGGTAATATTTTAAATGATTCTCACATGAGAATATCAGAGGTGCGAGACCCGGGATTTGAACTCGCTTCACTCGGTTTCTCAAACGAGTGCGTTACCACTGGGCCACCACTGCCACGAGAATGACATTAGGCTACTTTTAAACTGGAATTAGTAATTAATTCAGATGTATCTATTGTGTTTATGTGTATGTTACGCGATATCTTTGCAACTTGGACCGATTTTCATTTTTCTGATAGATAAATTATACTTCCTCTAAAGAAGGAATAATCTATCTTTACTTATATTATAAAGAGGTAAAGTTTGTGACATTGTGGGGGTAATTCCTGGATCTACTAAACCGATTTAGGTGAAATTTGGTAAGAAGATAGTTTGAGACCCCGGAAAGTATATAGGGTAATTTTTATCCCGGAAATCATCCTTAAGGGGGTGAAAATGGGGATGAAAATTTGTATTGGGAAGCAAGTTAGGGACGAACCCGAGCGAAGCGAGGGTGAGTCGCTTTTTACTTATAATTTTAAAGTGGTTAGGTAAACACCATTTGACAAGTCGGGAACCAAAAATTTTAATAAATCTGCCAAAAAATCTGAAAAGATCAATTATATAAAGAATGGTCAGAAACTAGTTTTTTTTAGTTTTAATAACTATAAAAGTTAGACAAAGATGTAAAAATAACACAAAATGCGAACAGAGCCGGGTTCAACAACTAGTAAAGTTAAGGAAAAATTCGAAGAAGATAACAGTCTTTTCAAACAGAGGGTGCGGATTTTAAAAATTCTTGAAACAATCGCTTTGTTAGATTTTTGTTGATTTTTCCTGAAGGCAGATTGTCATTAGAATATTAATGAATGTTGGGTTTAGATGTAAAATAACGTTACATATTTATGTTATGGGTTTGATTCCTGTGCGATGTCGATGTTATGGAAAATCGTAATTAATTTAATTCAGTTAGACTTATTTAAACACTTTTTAATCTCCAATTAAGGCAGTGGTAGCCTAGTGGTAACGCGCTCGCTTGGGAAACCGATTGAAGTGGATTTAAATCCCGGGTTTCACACCTCTGATATTTTCATGTGCTAATCATTTCCAATATGATCACCACTTGTCTTACGATGAAGGAAAACATCGTGAGGAAACCTGCATGTCTAAGAGAACCTAGCAAGTTTTAGAAAGACATGTGTAGTCCGCCACTTGGCCAGCGTGGTGGACTATGGCCTGATCCCCCTCGTACTGAAGGGAGGCCCACCCCCAGCAGTGGAACGTTAAAAAGGGGCTGCATATAATCTTCAAATGAATTTAGACAGTCGGTAAGAAAGCTAGCAAGCTCGGAAATTAGGTCTGTTCAGAAGAACCCAAGAGAAATAAAACAGGTATTTTTTTAAATTTACACTGAGTTTTATATTTTTAATGGAACCACTATTAAAATACGAATTGTATGTGTGTATGTTTACTCATTTTACCACGGATACTGCTGGACGGATTTGGATGAAATTTATAGTACACAGATAGACTATGACCTGGATAAGACCTAGGATACTGTTAGATACCTAGAAATATACATCATGTACAGCAGGGGTCATGTTTCAGGATCATATTGATAGTGGAACTCGTTGATGGCTGCTGAAAGAACCATCAGATTTGAGCTTTTTTGATTAATTTTGACAATTTACATCCATTGAAATTGGTCTAAAGTATGTTTTTTTTATTTAAATATGTTAAAATTAGTATATTCTTCATCTTAATTAAGATTTGCTCTGGACCAAGTTATAGAGTTAGTGGAAGTCATTGAACCTCACGTTAATTGGGCATGTTAATTGTACCTTAATTCTGTTTAAACCAGGTCTTGTCTTTATTTATATCTAACGACACGACTACGATATCTGATAGGTCGTGATGAGACCTTATTATAAGAGGGCATCACTTTTGCCTTTGAAAATCAATTTTTTATAAACCAAATTCAGTTAGTGTCTTCATGACAGAAATAGGGCGTAATCATTTTAAAATTAAAGTATAGAAAATATTAGTAGTAGCTTACAAAATCGCCCCTATTCAGTATGAGGCTTAATTTCATTAGTACACTAATTTTTATCGATACGTTTTTTGTATAATATGTATGTATAGATATCTATAAATAAATCAGATCAGATGTATATCCAAGTCTCCAAGAAATAACTTATCTAAATTTGAGTTTTCAGTGAAAACTGTTGGACCGCGTAAAGAAGAAGCAGCAAATTAATCTTACTAATATTATAAATGTCAAAGTTTAGATGGATGTTTGTTACTCAATCACGACAGAACGGTTGAACGGATCTGGATGAAACTTGGCACAGAGATAGATTATAGTCTGCAATAGGATATGCTTTTCATCCACGAAAAATGTACGGTTCCCGTGGGATAGATTTGTTTTTGTTTCTCTAGAGACGAACCCGAGTAAGGGCGAGCCGCTAGTGGAATCATATTTTTGTGTGTATTAGGTATGATAAATTTTCATATTTTTTATTAACTTTATAAATAAGCTACCTCACAGATGATATATAAATTTCAAAAATAAAATTCTACCTGTTAAAGTGAAATAATTCTTTCATGTGATTTTAAGTCGGTATTGCCTTTATTAATACAAAGTAGTTATAATATGTATTACCACAGTGACTATTGCAATAATCGGCTTTTAGCTCTGGCTTAGGAGTACTTTAATAATTAAAGGTTTTGTTTTCGCGTTCATTTTAAGCCTTTTTGTATATATGTATGTATAAATATCATAGTTTCGTAGGTGGACAAATTATGGACTTCACAGCTTCTGTTTCATGCTCACTGTCGCATATTTAGGCGAAAATGAGGCAAGGAATAAATAACACAATGACAATTTTGAACTATTTAATCGAAATACTCTCAAATTAGAAAAAAAGTCTTACTTCTTAAATACAGCTTAATCTATTCTAAATAATTCTAGTCAGTCCGCTCCTGAGCAGCGTGATTTTTATGTAGCCTATAACATTCCTCAAAAAATAGGCTATTAAATGCCAAAAGACGAATTGATGAAATCTCACTGGTTATTCCAAGCAAGACACAATTCTCTAGCTTTAAAAAATTACTTTATAAATAAAAATATTACAATAGATAAATTCTGTAATGACAAAAAAAACGAAAATCGTATAGTTTTAAGACAGCTAAAATAAATTAGTAAAAATATAAATTTGAAAAGTCGTATACGTATCGTAAGGTATAAACATCATGTTACGGTCCGGCGCTCGGGGCACAAATGACCCCCGAGTGTGAGCCCCAATCTGTGTTTATAGCTTAGACTTTAGGGTGTCTCTGGACATCCCTTCAATTCTAAATATTAATCCCATATTTTTAGTCTCAGTCTTTTCAGTGGATATAGGTTCGATTTTTTAAACGAATTCCATTCAACCAACTTTAATAAAAATGATTAAATATGAAAAAAAATATTATATTTTTAGTAATATCTCAGTTTCTTTAAATTGGGGATAGGTGAATTTTAAATGATATTTAAAAGTTTAACACTTAACTTTTAAGGTTAAAATCGCCTTTTTACTGAAAAAAAAACACCTGTAGGTAGCAGGCAATTACGCTCCTCCATAGCCACAAAAAACCCATGTATTTTCATCATTTCCATCTATAAACTCGCTCGTATAACCGAAGGATCTTATGTAAGCTGTTAAACAATACCATAGTCAAAATATGAATTATAGAGTGAAAAAAATCTTTTGCTGCTTATAATAGAGGCCGAATCTATAATTTTTAGTATTTTGTCTGTCTGTCTGTCTATCTGTCTGAGAACGCATCATCGAGTATTAGAAGCAGATGTAACTAATCATTGATATATAAAAACATAGATTCACATTTGCTTACAAATATCTCTTCAAAGCGTGGCGTCGACATGTGACGTTAAGTCAAACCAAAGAATAACATTCAAAAGTCGAAAGTTCTAATTGTCTAAACACAAATTTGAACTTACGCATACTACATAAAGTAGTTTTTTAAACTGAAACAACATGCATTTTAATTGTACACTTTTGGAGGACACTTTTGATACGTGTATAACTTAAGTTTTTGTATATCAATGTAGCTAATATTTTTTTTAAATATATATGTATGTTATAATATATTAATATATGAAATCAAAATAGACAAACCCGTATCCAAAGCTTATATCAGATAACATACCCCCATCTAAATCAAAGAACATCAGAAACAGACGGGTTTTGTTCGTATCTGTAACTCGCCCTTAGTTATCGTAAGTTGGAAATTTATAGCTTTCACCGACGTGAATGGTGTTTGGTTTTGAATTCTAAAATTAGTATGGGGCTCTTGAAACTTTTAGTTTTATATTTATTGATATTATATATAAAATATTAACAGTAGCAGACTTAGGCGTAGGCCCGTGAGGCCCAGGCCTAGGGCGGCAAATTTTGAGGAACGCCAAAATTTTTAAGACGACTAAAATTAAAAATCGATTGGGTTTTCTGTAAACTATAATACCAAAATTTTAAAGTTTATTTTCTTACGCTTTTACAATCTAAACATAGCACCATTTCGAGGATAGATTTTAAATAATTAATACTGATACGAAAGAAAAAGGACGCCATATCGACTTCGGCCTAGGGCACCATCGAACCTAAATTCACTACTAAAAATATATATTAAATACTTTCTTAGGTTCAGTGGAATCTATACTAATATTATATAGAGGAAAGAATTTTTTGTTTGTTTGTACCGAATAAGCTCCGAAACTACTGAACTGATTTAGATGAAATTTGGTAAGAATATAGTTTGAAACATCCTTGATGGAAGCAACCTAAGGACGGACCCGAGCCAAGTAAGTGAAAAATTACTGTGTTTACAATTTAAACGCTTATAAATACGCAACCATTAACAAAATTAAAGAAAATGTTTAGACATGTATAATCTATACATATAATCAAATTCTAATGGAGTCGAATCTGTACATTAAATATTTTTTTGAAAATCTCATTGAAATAGACAATATTATCGAGACAGAGGCCGAATCCGAATCCGAATCAGAGACTGCATCACGAGAACCGCTGGACAGATTTTGATGAAATTTGGTATGGTGATAGCTGGTTATCCGGGTCAACATATAGGATACTTTTTACTGCGAGGAAATATCTCATCTCAAAGAAATCTGTACTGAACCTTGAAACGTAACTAGTCGCTAGTAATGTATAAGATATAAAACAGCGCCATCTAGGAATAAGCAGTACAAACTTATCACCTAATTGCTGATCTTAAGAAAAATTACGAAAATTTAGTTTAAGAAGGCATTACTTAATTTCCTTTTACTTTTATTAGAGTATTTTTATGATCAAAATGTATCTGGTTATATATATATATATATATATATATATATATAAAATACATATATACGTATAACGCCATCTATTGACGTATCTTTGAACTAATTTCACTTTGTTCTATGGAGACGCCATAGATATGTCGCAAATTGCCTCATCACGAACAAAAAGAAATTAGTTCAAATAAATGTCAATAGATGACGTTACATGTATCGATTTATTATTATAGTTGTGTAAATTAACAAAAGATAAAAGAACAGATCTCAAAAAAGTGTTATTATTTAAAAAAATACTCTAATTGAAGAGAAATGAAACAATGCATCTGTAAATCAAATTTGTGAAATATTGTTATTTATTGAAATATCAGCAACTAGCGGCTCACCCTCGCTTCGCTCGGGTTCGCCTCAAGGAAAGCACAAACAGATCTATCCCACGGGAACCGTTCATTTTTCGGGGATGAAAAGTAACTTGTTGTTTGACCGGCAATATAAGGTATCAGCATGCCAAATTTTATTAAATTAGGTGCGTAAGTTGTTGTGTACTAAGCTGTACAAGTTACTATAGTTTTTTAACTATTCCACGGAAACTCTTTAATTTTTCGAGGTGAAAAGTATCGAAGATGTTGTCCGGGGATATAAGGTCCCACCACGCAAAATTTCATTTAAATCGGTCCAATAGATTCGGAGATTAGCCCGTACAAACAGGAAAACAGACAAACAGCTCGCTCGGGTTAGTAAAAATTTTGATTAGATTTGAAATAAATAAATAAATAAATTTTAAATTAATCAATTAATTATATGTAAATTTTTATTTCAAATGTAAATGTATATTGTTATCTAATTTATAGTTTTTATTGTTGTTGTGTTATAATAAATAAATTATTATTATTATTATTATTATATAAAAAAAAACTACTTTTTGTGACTTAAATATAAAAGTTAGACATATGCTGTCGCTGACTTTTTTGTAGGCATTATTAATCTCTACAACTTTTCTCTAGAATATAATCATACTAGCGGACCCGACAGACGTTGTCCTGTCTACACGTCTTTAAATTGAAAATTTCAAACTTTTTTTAATAATTTTTTTGATGAAAATTATTATTCAAATTGTGAATCTAAACCATTCTCGAATCTCCACGAACACACACAAAAAATTTCATCAAAATTGGTCCAGTCGTTTAGGAGGAGTTCAGTCACATACACACGCACACAAGAAATATATATATTAAGATATCTCTCATCCTTAAGGCAGCGTTCGTAAGAAACGTTTTCGTTCGACCGTTTTTTCTCCGACTTACTTTGCAAATTCGATTACCACGAAAAAGCCTTTTCATTCTTCGGGTTAATATATAGCCTATGACACTCAGAAAGAACGTGGCTTTCTATTGGTAAAAGAATTTTGATAATCGGTTCAGTAGATCCAGAGATTACCCCCTACAACGTCACAAACTCACAAGATCACAAACTTTACCTCTTTATAATATTAGTATAGATATTCACAGATGGCGCTATTACTTTTTATGAGTATTATGTTTTTTGAAGTAATAAGTACTTCTTTTGGCACGTTTGGAAAATGTTGAGAGTAAAGTTTTTACGATGCGCGCACTCACCGACAGCCGCAGCAGACATGATGAAGTTAGCTGAATTCCTTTTTCAAACAGAGAGTTGTGACACACGGGATGAAATTTTTAGCAACTTTTGTTCTCTTACACCAAAGAAGTATAACTTACGTGCGTACAATAAGTACACACACACGTTTTTTTTACTATTAATCCATTCCATATACAATAAAAGATCTTTCTGTTTTTTCTCTATCTGTGTACATTTAATCAAGATTGCGGTTTTAATATACGCCTAATTTAAAATGTCAACTAATTATCTGACTTCAAAACAGGAGGTCATTTCCCTTGGTTAAAAATTATTAAAATCACTGTAACTTAGTTTCTGTACTCAAACTTCAGTGGGCCTCACAAAAAATTTTTTGATCACAGTAAGAAATAGGACCGTTTGGCAACAAAGAATATTTCGAATTGATTAATCGTTTTCCGGTACAAAATGTATGGGAAAAGTTTTTGGCGATTTCCGTCATTTCTAGTACTCGTACCTTAAATGGTCCCATAGTCTTTTGATCCCTGCATGAAATAGGATCGATTGAGATTAAAAAAAATGTTTTGGTTTTTAGCATTTTTTTCGCTAACTGTACATTTTTTCCAAAATCTGTGAATGCAGTTCAGGATATCTTAAAAAGTTATGGATGGTCTCCTAGGAACGTTTTCCTGTAACTATAGCAGTTAAGGTACCTGCCCTTACTGTCCCGTCTCAAAAATCCACCCTGTATTAGTAGAAAGCAATAAAACAATAAAAAAATTGGAATAAATTATTTATTTAGCACAGAATATATAATAAAATATTATAATATAATACAGTTGATAAGCTGCTTTATTTGTTAAGCTGTAAATGTTAATTACGTTTTTTTTAACTAATAATATTATAAATAATGTTTTGGTTTGTCACTTTCAAACTTGTTTTTTAAGGTTACGTACCCGAAGGGTGCCAAAGGAACCCCATTACTAAGCCTCCGCTGTCCGTCAGTCTGATAGGTAGAGTTGAAATTTTCACATAGTATATATTTCTATTACCGCTATAACAAAAAATAATAAGAAAACCAAGATGGCTAATTTCAAAATGGCGGCCATGCAAATTAAGAAACAAATTTAATTGTGTTCGTTTTGGTCAGCGTGTTCAGTCCTATTAACATATTAATAATAACAATATACGAAAATGAAAAAAACAAAATGGCGAACTTCAAAATGGCCGCCATGCAAATTAGAAAAAAAACCGATTAAACTGATATTAAGCATGCGTGTTCAGTCCTATTAACAATTTGTTTCCTTTACAAAAATACATAGTAATTAATATCTTATCTTATACGATGGTACGGAACCCTTCGTCTTTAGCCCGACTCGCACGTGACCGGTTTTTTTGTTTGTACGCATTAATCTCTGAAACTATTAATCGTCGTCGTATTTAAGCATCGATCAAAAAAGTACTACTAGATACACAATCCCATACAAAAGTTCTCTTAAAACTGTCACCAATTGTGTTTAGGTAATTGTTCTAGTTGAAATAAATATACAACAATGAAAATTGGACCTTAAATGCAATGCTTAAAGTTGTTTTCACAAAAAAAATTAAGAGCGCGCTCAAATGAGCGCTCATTAGGTGAGGACATTTTTTGTCGCTGATTGTGTATCTAGTACTTTTTTGATCGATGGATTTACGCGAATATATTGACATTTTGAAAATATTTTAACTAAAAAGACGTTTTTGACCGTCTAAAACCTGTCTCTCCCGTGACTTTCGAAAAAGAGGTGTTTCGTAATTATATGTAAAATATTGTACTTCGTCCTAATCTGTTTTGTTGAAATAAAAATGTCAGAATCAATCGCCTCTTCGCTTTGCGTCTGGACCTAACACATTTTTTCTATCACATATTCATTACCATAAAAAAAATTAAAATAAACTTTCGTATCATTTTTGTCTTAGAACCAAAAACTAAAAGAAACCAAAGCACAGATAAATAATATTTAATCATTAGCCAAAGCTGCAAATTTATTAGCAATCTTTGTGTGTTCGTCTTCATCTGTTTCGTCGGACGAGCTTTCGTCGGAATCGGACCTCTCGTTGCCGGAGTCAGATGGAGTCAGCGCTTCATCGCTTTCTGTCAGAGCTTGGACCCATTTGACGTATTTTATTTCGTCACATTTTTCGTATTTTTCTGAAATTAGAAAATGAATAGTTGTTTTTTATAGATAAATATTAGCTTTATTTGAAACTAATGACGACACGTTTGGTTCAGTTTGTAGTGACCATACTTGCTGCACCAGCGGTCGCGGGTTCGACTTATAATATATATATATTTAAAGTTATATATGTGTAGTGTATCCACTATCTGGTATCCACAACACAAGCCTCGGAGCCATCGGAACCATGGAACTTAATGGTGCTGTGTGTTAATGTCCCAATATATTTATTTTATTAGGGTAAAATTTAAAAAAAAAAAACTTGCATCACGTGACATAGATACAAAAAATATACATTAAAAAAAATATACACACCTCTTTCCTCTGTAAAGTTGGGAGGTCGAAGCCATAGACAAATTTTTCCATCCAACGCCATCCTTAATAAACTGTTAGCGGCTCTGTAAGTGTCTAATCTGTGGGCAAACATTAAAAATTATAATATTCACTTTTGTGAAGACATCTACCTAATTCATTAAAGTTACATTAAAATCGGTCAATACAGTAAAATCTCATAATCCTACTATTTAATATTATAAATGCGAAGGTATGGATGTTTGTTAATCACGCCAGAACAGCTGAACGGATCTGGATGGCACAGATAGATTATAGTCGGGAATAGCACATAGGTCCCTTTTATCCCGGAAAAATGCACGGTTCCCGTTTCTGATCGTTCCCGATCGATTATAATCTATTCCATACAAACCAAAAAACCTTATTTATGTATTTCATAATATCTAATCTCATTGAGAATCTCACGTAATTTTTCTATTCGAAGGAAAACAGCAATAACTTCTTTATAGCTGCTAGTTATTGTGGGGTTTACTTCCGATTCCTGTCAAGAGATGGCGCTACTAGTACGTTGCCTCATTATACACAATACATAATATGTTTGATGTTTATTTTATAAAATTGTCTTAAAGAAGTGAACAGTGTGAAAATTGATGAAAAAAACAGTGTTCGATATTCTTGACTCAAGTAGTGTTTCATCTAAGGTGATTAAGAAGTTTCGGCAGGCATTATATTAGCCAGTTATAAATTCATATAAACATGGTACTTTTCCACTGTGGAATCCCATCGGATTTTACCATGGGAAGGAGGCCAACTTTTAAGGAAAAACACCATGTAATTAATATTCCGCAATTCATTTTTCTTCATCAATCTATCACATATACATACATATATCTAAAGTATTAAATGTAATTATTTTCTAATTTATTAAAACACAATATAAATTAAACTTACCTACCAACACAAAAACAAACGAAATTAAATTTACCTATTTCGATGATAAAAAAACTACACACCCTAATCGCACCCGTAGCGCACATTCCTTGGAAGTTCTCTATAGAGATAATCTCGCACTTACCTATAAAAACAAAACTTACCTACAAAAAAAGAAAGCTTACCTGTAAAACGAAATTTACCTGTAAAAACAAAACTTACCTACAAAACTTACCTAGCAGATTTAGCGGTGAGATAGCCACGTTTCTTGGCCCACCCGTCGCATATATCCCTTGGAGACCACGTGTCATCGTTCTCTGGATGATCGATGCGTAATAGCCGGGGCAGGTCGAGACGCTCTGCTAGATAGCTGTTGGTAAATTATCATTTCATTATACACTGCAGGCTGCAGATTCAGATGTCCTGGGTTCGAGTCCCGGGTCGGGCGAAGAAGGGTGTGTCTCCGTGAGAATGATGACTGTGGCCGAAATTGGTCAGGAGGTGACATTAATCATTGTTTAACGTTTTTTTTATCGAGCCTTTGGGATTGATTGGAAAAAAGAATAATGATTTTCAATCATCCAAACTTTTTAACATAAAATATATTAACTCTAAATAAAAGTAAGTAAAAATAAAATTAGACCACCGACAATTCCTAATTAATTTCCCTTTGGCTCTTCTTAGCACAATTGCAAACTGATGACTTTCTGACTTACTAACTCTCTTTAAACTAAATTGATACAAAAGTATAAGAATTCACCTGAAAAAAAAATAGTTTACCATTTCAAAAAAACTCACCGTATAGTAGTATACGGTTCTCGTAGCTGCGCTATGGGATAAGACCCCATGAGGATTTGTATGGAACGAGGGACTTTTGATGGGAAAACTAAACCGGGACAGTCGCATAGACGTACCTGGATAAAAAAAACATTATAATAAATATATGGCAACACATTGTGTTTAGTGGTCGTGTCTGTGCTTATTTGACCAAACGACCAAGTTACCGAAAGAGTTTTTTATACAGAATTATTGGTTTTTACACATTTAGCAATACTATTGGTATAAAACACATATTTTATTTGACAAAAACCTAAAAAAACGTATGCGTACTTATGTACTATTATATTATTATTATATTATTATTATTATATATATTATATTATTATTACTTATATTATGTACTTATGCACGCAAGAAGTTAGTTTATTGTTTGCTTTTTTTAGAGCATTTAAATAAAAGCTACTTTTTTTTTGTAATGTTTTTTACTTTTTTCCGTATTCTTCTATGGAAACCCTTTCATTTAATATCCATATCATGGAGGTGCGTAAAAAAACAATCCACCATCTTTGGTAGCCCGCCATGTTGAATTTACAATGACGTCACTTTGCTTACTGTCTTTCGCTCATCAAGTTGCGTATATAGAAATACCGGAATAAATATCTCGAATATAGACATCACAAACGGACTAAAGAGAGATTTAACGACTAACTTTACACTGTAGCCAATAACGACTAACTTCATACTGTAGTCTAAATCTGTCGCATCGTAAAAAAAAACACTCTCAATATATTTTTTTCCTAAAATGGCGAGAGAAGTAAAACTTTAAAAAATGTATTTTATCTATATATGTATATAAATCTCAGAAATAAAGTTTTTTTGTTAAATAGGAGAAAAAGACTCCCCACTGTAAAGTACAACAAGTAGGTATTGATGGTTTTAACAAATAAGTACTGAGGCGACGTAATGTTCTACACCACTTAAAATAGATCCTTTATAATACCATATTTTTACTACAAGTCTAACTTAAAAATTTCAAAATTGAGCAACTGATAAAAAAATGAAAAATTCAATAAAAAATCTTCAATTGTTTAACTTAATTTTTTTTTTAGTTTTTTTTTAATTATCATTTGTTCTTTTTTATTGTTCATAAGAAGTATGTGTCATTAATAAAGCTATATTCTTCTTTATTCTATTCTAAGATTAGGGAAGATTTATACAAAATTAAAACAACGCCATCTAGTGACAAAGTTAGAAATCTCTTTCCAATTCCATAAGAAATCTTTAGATCGAAGGTTAGCTAATCAGAACAATTAAAATGTAAACATAACATCCAAATTACCAAAACATAAATAAAAATTACCCAAGAAACAAAACTTACCTGTGGAGTGAGGAATATAGTTTGGAAGTGTTTCGTGTGTCCCGGTGTCCGGGATACGGACACAACTTTCTTTCCCATTATAGCGTTCATCAACGAGGACTTGCCCACGTTCGGCTGTCCCACACACCCTATGGTCAGGATACCATTTTTGTATCTCTCGTGTCTATAGAACGTTGTATCCGCCTTTTCTAGTATCGTTTCGCCTTAAATATCAAGAATAATAACATAACATACAAATTTTTAAATTTTGGCTGTTCCGGCTAATCTCCAAAACTGCTTGATCGATTGTGACGGGACTTTCACTAGCAGATATAGCTGATGTTATAAGGAGTAACTTAGGCTACTTTTATTTAAGAAAAAGAATTAGGATTCCGCGCAAAAAAAATGAAAACCCATTAAATTATGAACAAAATCCGAGGCACCCGAGTGAAGCGACGGTAAATCGCTAGAATTTTTTTTTAATAAAAAGTGCGTGTGATTTCAAATCACACGTGGTAGAAGTAATACTTAATATTATTTATTTGCCAGACAATAACAACGGTTACCATGGCAACGTGGCAATGTATTCCATGACATTCTCTCGCGCGCCGGCTTAATTCTATATATTGTGTATTCTATATTACTATTCTATATATGTGTTTGTCTCTTTCTAGTGTCGCATTTTCGTTCCATCGAGTTTCAATTCACAACGATTCTAAAGAAGTTTCACTTTAAAAACAAAACAACTCACCAACTTCCGTCTCATCGTCGTCAAACTCCACATCCGTTTCCTCTTTTATCTTCCTCTCCCAGGAAGTCAAATCAACTTCGCTATTCACTATATCCTTACACGCTTCTAGTATTTTAGTCGCTCCTTCCGCACACATTCTTTGACGACCTTTGCGACGTCTGACTTGAAGTCCTGTAAGAAGGAGAGAAAACCAAATAATTTAAGAAAAACGCATTAAATCTTTCTTAGATATTTGACATCCATACTAATATTATAAATGTGAAAGTGTGTTTGTTTGTTTGTCCTCGTTTCACGTAGATATCTCTACATACAAAATCACATTTTTTGTGTGGAGATAGTTGGAGTTTCACCGCATGAGATTATCTAATTCCCACGGGACAACAAGTTATAATATAACCAAAAAAAATAATTATGATCAGAATTACTTGAAACTAGGTATTAATGCCCTCCAATACAATTAAATAAATACGTGTTTTAGCATTTTTTGTAATTCATCCCATAAGAGGGCAAAATAGGGAATGGAAGTTTGTATGAAACCTACCTTTTTAGAGTATTTTTTTTCGTAGTTTCAGCGGGAGCAAAGCCGTGGGTTCTACTAGTTACTATATAAACTGAAAAGGCTGGACTGATTTTGATACAACTTTACAGTAATATAGTTGCGCGTGTGAATATAATAAAACATAAAGAATATTTTAATTCAACACTCACCGGCCTTGTCACTACTGCCACCCATCAAATTATATCCCGGACAGGATGTGAAGTAAACAACCCTCAACCCGGGACACTTTGTTGTTAAATACTCCTTCCACCCCGCTACCACTGAGGCTGGCACTAAGTCTATTTTGTTAAGTACTAAAATCATATTTTTTTTCTGATCATTCACTACATATTCATATAGGGAGGGAGGAAACATCATTCCCTAAAAAAATAAATAAAAAAAAATTGTATAGGTAAATTGTTAATGATTAGGTAAGTTTGGTAAAATTAGGTAAAATGTAGGAATATCTTAGTAGATGATGGTAATTGAATTATATTTTAAATTTTACAATAAATTATTTAATAAATTATTTTGGAGAAAATAGAAGCAAATGACAAAATTTAATTTCTTTGCAGGCCAGTCTTTATAAGATGAATAGGTGTTTTTTTTTTAATTTACCAAATGGTAAAATATTCCTCTATAGCCACAAAAATACAATAATGTTTTATCTTAGACTGTTCCTTGAAATTACAAAACAATTTATTAAATAAAAATTAAAAAATTAAATTTGACTAAAACAGGTAATTTAACTCACAGGTAAGTTAAGGTCAGTTTAGGTAACATAAATACTCACAGCGAATCTAACGTCCACAATTAGAAGCAAAATATCGCACATTTCTAAAACACGCCACAACTGTCGCCACGTTTCCAAATTTAATTCAAAATACGACATTTCCTTCCAATGCTCTGATTTCTGTAGTCGGTCTATATATTCCTAAAGGAGAAAAATTGGAATATTATTAAAAAAACGTGTGTGTTTGTACTTATGTACGCACGTAAGTAGTTATACTTCTTTGGCGTAACAGAACAAAAATAGCTAAAGATTTCATCCCGTATGTCACAACTCTCCGTTTGTAAAAAGAATGCAGTTAACTTTATCATGCCGTTTTTTTTCTGTCGGTGTGCGCGCGCAACGTAAAAATTTTACTCTCATACTTTTTTTAAAGCGTGCCAAAAGAAGTATAACTTCAAAAATCTAAAAAATTTTGTATGAATGTATGTTTACTCAGGCTGTAACGGCAGGACCGATTTAGATGAAACTTGTCCACTGACTATGACCTTTCTTATATTTATCAAACATTTGATGTTTTAAATAAACACTATTTAAAATAACAAGATCCGCTGGTTTACTTTAATTCTGACATTATTGACATTTGTTCCCGACCATTCAAATGCTTTCCAACATGGTCAAGTGTAAAAATAAATATGTAGATATATTGGTGTCAGTTTATCTCAACATTTAAAAAAAATTGTTCAAAACATTCATTCCGGAAGGTCTATCTCCACTTTTTTGTATTTAACCGCAGAAATGTCTAGTTGTGTGTGCTTCTATACCAAACCACTGAAAATATCTGTCCTATACAGACAGACGTGCATGATAAAATTATGAAGATTCCGTTTTAGAATTTTGGCTACGGAACCCTAAAATTTGACAATAAATCCAATACACACCCTAAAATATTTCTGCTCTTGCGCATCTAACTGTGCGGGGGTCATGGAGAAATCCCACGGAGGTCGCTTCGGGAATGTTATTTCGACGGGAAAGAAATCCGTGGGATCGATCTCCATTTCTTTCTCTGTTACGGGATTGAGAGATTTTCTGTAATAAAAATCTAGATCAAATACTGGTTATACTTTGATTTGCCATAGGTTAGTGTCACTACATGCTAAAACGAGACAAAAAATTGTAAAAATTTCAATAATTTCAAGCTGAACTTTTCAGCATAATCGAAAAAAAAACATTTTACACTTTTTAAGAATATATTTCATCTAATATTTATGCAATTAAATTATATCGTAAATAAAAAATGCTAACAACACATCCTTGCTTCGCTTGGTTGCATCCCTAGGTACGTTTTAATTTTTTTGCATGGGACTCTTAATTCTTTTTCTAAAATAAAATTACCCTAAGTTACTTCTTATAACATCATCTATCTGCCAGTCTCGTCAAAATCTGTCCAGCCGCTTCGAAGATTAACCCGAACAAACAGACAGACAAAAATGTTAAAAATTGTATTTTTGTTACTGTATATAATATAAAGTTTTATATGCATTTAGTAAAAAGCTGTTATTTTGACATTACACACAGACACTTCACTTTTACTTATCTGTATAAATCAGGAGCTCCCAATCAGGGGGGCAAGCGAGAATAAGCTAGCTAGCTGCTAGGTATAATCTGTCATTAATCATTAAATTTCATATTAAATTATAATTCTTTGTCAAAATAAACAATAACAAACATACAAAAAATGTATAACCCATACAAAAATTCAACTAAACACTATATAATATATCAACTTACAATGCATCCTCTTTCTTCAACTTGAGCTCCTCTTCTGTCTCTCGGTAGAACTTCAGAGCGTATCTGTTCGCTTCACCCCTACCTCTTTGTCTGTTTGATTGGTAGTTGACTGTCATTATGTCATAGGGATTTGATCCTGACGATGCTGTGATGAAAATAATAACATTTTACAGAAATATCTTTAACTAGCGACTGACCCTCGCTCTACTCGGGTTCATCCCTAAAATTACGTTTTAACGTTTAGTATAGATTTCTCAAAGATGAGATGTTTTCCTGCAGTAAAAAGTATCCTATATGTTGATCCAGATAACCAGCTATCATAACACCAAATTTCATCAAAATCTTTCCAGTGGTATTATCGTGATACTTTCCCAGACCGACAGACAGACAGACATAAATTCTAAAAACTATAGATTTGGCCTCTGTAGTCTTTTAAAAAATATAATAGGATAAATAATGTGAGAACTTAATCAAAATAAATGTAATACTTACTTGGCATAAGCAATGTTTTATTTTGCTTTTTAGCCTGCAGCTGTTGTTTTTTAGCTTTACCGCTAAACGGCGTCTTTCGCCTGGCTTGCGGCATTTCTGTTTATTTCTGAAAATATTAGACTCTTTATAGTTATATTAGCAGAACCCTGGGCTTCGCCCACATTCAATCTACAAAAAAACTCTTCTGCTTTATGTTATGTAGCTCCTCACCTTTGCTTTGCTCGGGTTCGTCCGTATGTATTTATATAATATTAAATTATTTGGATATTGTTCATACAAAAATACTAAAATAACGATTAGAAAATGAGGAATGTGGCGAGAAGGGTGAAAAATACTTTACGACCTATTCTTATATCTACCAAATATACAAAAAAAAATCATAAAGATCGGTCGAGTCGTTTCGGAGGAGTGCAACCACAACACTGTGACACAAGATATTTATATATTAGATAGTTGTTGTTGCCAATCTTTTTTCTTTATGTGTCTGTGTAGAACCAAGATATCAACTATGAGAGTGAAGTAAAAAAGAAATAGAGTCCATATATGAAGGTAACACACCTTTGTTAGATTTAAAAAAAATAAAAACAAATTAATAAACAATAGAGTAGCATGATTTTTTTTATTTATATAATTCTGTAGAATGTAACTATAATAATTATTATTTTTTTGCTTAAGCACTTTTACCTTAGAAAAAAAAGCAGATACAGATAATTTATAATAAGTAAACTCTTGGCCACAATTTATTAAGCCTTAATAAAATATATTAACATATTTATCAAGCTTATTATAAATCATGCAATCCATAATACAATTATTAAATTAAGTTTTATAATCTGTACTTACTATAAAATTAAAATGACTATCATTATATAATAACTAACAACTCTATATAAACCACATACAGTATGTAAATTAAATGTTTCCCAAGTTCTTCTCAGGAATGAGGCTTTTTTGTCTGAGTTCGTAATACACTCATGACATTCAGTAAAAAATAATATCCAATGATAAAAATAGGGAATACAAAGTTTTGAGTTCTTTCAGAAGTAGATCACTTCTAAATTTAATATAACAATTATTAGTTTGATAATAAACAGAGTTGTTATATACTAAAAATAAAGTTATGATTGTTAACAACCAATTTTTTATTTCTGTACTGTTCTCCTTTCTCTTTACGAGTGAAAAGCAAAATAAAATTAACCTAGACATAAGCTTCTTTAACATTAAAATAAAATACACAACAAAATTTCCATAGAAACTTAATTATGTTTTAAATTATTAAATTGTAAATTATCTAAACTATAATTTGAAATAATATCAACCAGATGAAATAAAAATAATGTCAACCAGATAGAAATGCAATGCAGTCATCAGATATAGAAAGTTACGAAAACGTGGTTACTGGTTGGAAAACAAAATGCCGGCATGTACCGGTATTTCAGATGTAATCTGATGAAAGAGGGATTTATCATATGTAAGACAAACCATCTTATTTAAAAAAATAATTACATTTTTATTTAAAGTCAAAATATATTACATAAATAAATAAAAAATAATGAATATTTTAAATATCTGATATATTTATAACGTTTTTATGTTATGGTATATATTATAGCTTACCTGTTAATTAATGAAAGATGTAAAATCCTATGCAATTTTCTAAATTAAGAATAATTAACTTAATTCTGGAAAACTCTAGATATGCCGACCGATCAAGTCACAACAAAAGTGACGTTTACCTTTTAAACATATGTTTTTTTTTAATGTTGTCATAAGCAATAAAAAAAATATTTTTTATGCATTATTATTTTATATAAATAAAATCAGCAAAAAATATATCGAATTTCATTTTTAGGCTCTTTCATATAATAGGCAAGTGAAGTATAATTATTATTTCATTCTACTTTATTATAAGGTTGAATAGATTTGGATCTATGCCTACTACGCATATAAATTATAAAAATCGAAACATAACCTAAAAAGTGACATTTTGTAAATAAATAAACTAACGCTTTACGTACGTAATCTCTAACCATATAATATATATTTTAAAATTATTCAAAATGCTTCCCCTATCATTATTACGGACGGCCCAAAACCATCCGATGCTCGTCGAATTGAAAAATGGGGAAACTTACAACGGTCATCTTGTTAGTTGTGATAATTGGATGAATATAAATTTGAGGGAAGTTATTTGCACTTCGAGGGACGGTGATAAATTCTGGAGGATGCCAGAATGCTACATTCGTGGAAGTACCATAAAATATCTTAGAATACCAGACGAGGTCATAGATATGGTGAAAGAAGAGACTCAAGTTAAAGCTAGAAGTAGGGGTGAAGTCAACAAGGGCAGAGGAGGTCAGAATATGAGATCAGGAAGAGGAGGAAGTAGGGGTGCTTTTGGTAACCGTGGAAGACCAGCTCCCTTAGCCCGTGGGGGTGGAAATACTGGGCGGCCGCAGAATAAAAACAAAAAGTGATTTTTAGTGTACTCTATATATATTTCTTGGCTTAAATTAAATTAAGTATTAATAAGGACATGCATGTTTTATTCAAATCCATCAAAAGTTGATTTCATTTTATATATTCTATATATTATAATCTCCAACTAAATATAATTAATTCACTTGCATCAAATCTTAACTTCGTTTAAATTGTTTTATTACAATAATAAGAAAGAGAAATCTAAATCATTGAATAGAAATTGTCTCATTTATTAGATTGTATTGCAAAAAAATTTATGCAAGCTTAAAATATTTTAGTAAAACTACATACTATTCTTGTTTTTTTTTTGCATCTATGATTAATTGGTATTGCATAAGTCATTACATTTTTGTGAAAGATTTGTATTTATATGATATATTCTTAACATTTACTATAAAGGCAAATATAATTATATCTAAAATAGGTTAGTGTTGACTTATAAATTAATACTCACATATACATCACTATATATCACTTATTTTAGAATAACAAAGAGACAGATGGACAATGAAGTGATCCTTTAAGGGTTTCTTTTTACCTTTTGAGGTACGGAACCCTAAAAAATCTAAAAATTAAGATGGAGTAACAACTAACCCATTTAAATCTTTAATGTCAGAAAAAAGCTTGGTAAAAAGTGGCAATGGCTGTCTGGAAAAAGAAAAGGGCTTTTAAGTTTTTTTTTTGGTGGGTATAGCTGGTTAAAAATTAAAAATTATTTATATTTATGTAAAAAAGAATAACTTTTTAAAATAATTTCTATAATCAACTAATACGATTCGTTCGAGAATATTCTATAAACCAAAAGTTTCCATTTGGTGTTTTTCCAATTCTTTTCATGTTACTAATACTTCTAAATTTTTTTCGCTCTGCAGCTGTTCTTTGTATGGAGAGTAATATGAAGCATGCTGAAAATTTTAAGGAAAATAATATTATATTAAAAAAAAACTAAAAAGGGTATACACCCACCATCTCATTCACCCTCATTGGTCTTGTGTGGAGCATGTACGGCTACAGATCTGGGGTTTGAGTCACGAGTAGGGTCAGAGCTAACGGTGTCACCTTGTTATCATGGAATACGATAGCGTAAGGCATGGATAAGTGGTAGTCCAGTAGTAACTCGCTCGCTTGGAAAACCAAGTATAGCGGGTTCAAATATCGGGTATCAAAACTGATATTTTATGTGCAAATTCTTACCACTTCTCCTAAGGTGAAAAAAACCCATCACGAAAAAAACTTTATGTCACGGAAACGCTAGTTTGCAAAAGACATGCGAAGTGTGACAACTCTCACTTAACCAGCGTGGTGAGTGACCATGATGACCTGACTCCCTTCATATTGAGAGAAGCCCATGCCCAGCCGTGGGACATTAATAATTAATGAATACACACAAAAAAATGTTCCAAGCTGATTCCGTTATTGCTTTACTATATCAAATTTATACCTCCTTGAGCCTACATCCATAGTTTGGATTTTGTATTTGTAGGATAAGACTGAAATATTACTTACCTGTTATTAAAAAATATATAAGTCTATACATATTTTACTTATTGGAGTCAACATTAAAATAAATCTAAAACGTTTAAATGGCGAAAATTTAATTAAGATTAACTTAAGGGGATGCTCACAGTTAAAGAAAACCGATATAGGTTTTCCGTTTTAAAACTAAACCGTTTTTAATATCTGGTAAAAAAAATTTTAGTAAACATTCTTGATAGAAGTACTTTCTAGTGGCTATGTTTTATGAATTACTAGCATAAAAACAAAGCGAGTGAAAACAAAAACAAATTATCCCACGGGAATCGTACATTTTCCGGAATTAAGAGTAATGTATGTGCTATTCAAGACTATAATCTATATTTATGCCAAATTTTATACAGTTCAGCAGTACGTTCAGCAGTTCTTCCGTGATTGTGTAACAAACATCCATCCAAACTTTCGCATTTATAAAATTTATAGGATTTTAATAGGATAAAAAAATTCAAAAATGCTTTATGCTGCTAAAGATTATTTTTTTGTGATTCAAATTGTTGAACTGGTAAATGGACTTCCACTTAAGAGATGAATTAACTTATTTTTGTTTTCCCGTTAATTTACCGCGTAATTCGATTATCACCCAAAGCTAATTAATTAACACACAAAAATTCATAAAACATAGTTTACATTCTGCTTTTATTTACCTATATATAGATAAGCATTTATTGCTTTAAAGATCCCTTAGCCGAAGGGTGCCAACGGAACCCTATTACTATGCCTCCGTTGTCCGTCCGTCAGAGGCCTGTATCTCATGAACCGTAATAGGTAGAGTTGAAATTTTCAGTATTTCTGTTGTCGCTATAACAACAAATAATAAAAAGTATTTTTTTAAAAACCGTGTGCGTGTACTTATGTACGCACGTCAGATGTTAAATTATTATAATACTATTATCCTTTGATAACGTGATCTTTTCTTTTAATTCCTTTAGATCGCTTTTTAAGCTCGGGTTTATAATTTTTTATAATTTATTTTGTTATTTAAAACTTTCTTTCTTTTATAATTTATTGGTTTATGTATCTGTAAGAATGTGTGTATAATAAATTCTGAGTCGAATTTGTACATTTATTATTTTTTGGAAATTCTTATTGGAATAGTCATTATTATCGATAGTACAGTTATTAGATTTCTTTGGTCTGTCTGGGAAAGCATCATGAGAAAACTACTAGACAGATTTGGATGAAATTTGGTATGATGATAGCTGGTTTTCCGGGTCAACATATAGGATACTTTTTAAATTTTTTGCAGGAAAATATCTCATCTCTGAGAAATCTATACTAAACGTTAAAAGCTAGTTTAAAAATAAAAGGGTAAAAATAAAACAAAAACATCGATAATTACAATATTTTTATCAAATCATACAATGTCAAATGTGTAAAACATACAATATTTTGTTTTAATTTAATTTTTAAATACTGCACATACATACACACAGACATACAATAGCGTAATAGCAGGTGACGGCTTTGCCGCAAATTCAACCTGACCATTACAACTATTATTTACATTTACAAATACATTTAAAAGGCTAAAAAACGTAGCGTTCTAAACGCGCGTATCAAACGTGCGTTTAAAACGCTAATTTAGTATTATTTTATATGTAATGTAAATTACAACGTTATAATAAAAATTGCGACGGTAAAAATATTGTTTTTTTATATAAATACGTACGTGTTGCCAAATTAATTTCCTTCAATGGGAGATTTTAAAGTACAATTTATATTAAAAAAAAAAGTTTGCATTGAGTTTCATAGCTGGTACTGTTTGCGTTTTAAAATTGTTTCTAAACAAACAGTTGATGTTACTTTTTTATTCATTTTTCAATTTTACATATTTTAGTGCACTCATTTTTATATGAAAAAAATTGCTGGCAAGTTTTCGGTATAGCGCCATTTAGCGTCTGTTTGGGCAAAATAAAATATCCAAATATACAAAGTTTTTGTATGTAATGGCGTACTAGCAATAGGGTTCGAAACGATAATTATCATTGATAATTATCACGATAATTATCATGATAAATATGGGTTGATAATTATCTTTGATAAATATAATTGAAAATATTTAATTTGTAAGTAACTCTTCAAATTGTCGATCAGCTAACTGAACTCTCTCAATCAGCTCAAAAAACTCAATCAGCAAACTGAGTTAATGCAGTTGAGGAGGATGAGGATGATATTCCACTCATTAAGGAGTCTGCCTACTACACCGTCTCCTACCATGACCGTGCTATGAACATATCAGGCACGAAAACAAGCGACCTACTGTGCCCACTAGAACGTGTCATTTGCGTATCAACCGCGTATCATCCGCGTGCCTCATCCGTATAGTTCTCGTTTTCTCAGTCGTAGTAGGTCACCTGTGTTTTCGCGTGAGGCAGCCGCGTCAGGAAGAGCGAGTAAATATTTTTGTCACGAAAATTATTTCCTATACCTATACGATGGCTATTAGAAACTTGTCTGACAGAAAATTAACAATGATAGCCATTGTTTTAGACGAGGAAGAAAGAGAATAACATCAGTCGATCACGACGTTACTAGGTTCACGCCGTTTTAAAAAAAATATAATTTAAAAGAAAATATTATCACTAGAAGACAAGCGACAACACGTTTATAACGGGCTTAGAAGGGTCATCCTATGCCGTCCGGTTATAACCGTCACCGGTTCGGCAAAGTCGCGTGCCAGGCACGGAACACGTTGGCACTGGCAAAATATTCTTGCCGACAATTATTGTTAACTTTCCATGCACGACACGCGTCGGTGTTGGTTGATGACGGAAAGGTCTTGGTCGGTGATGGAACGGATTAGTGGGCATAGTCTCATACTTTTCAATACAAAGGATATTTTTTTGCCTGACACGGCCCTAGCACGGTCATGGTATGAGAAGGTATAGTGGGCAGATACTATATAGTTAGTTATAGAGAGTCTATATAGTTGGTAAAATTTATTGTTTTTATTTCTAAGTTTGTTTATGTCAAAATAATGAAAAAATAATAATAAAAGATTACCTTAATTGTTAAAAGTGTATAATTTATTCTTACATAAATTATGATAGGCGAGTAGTCAAATACCAATACCTACACAAGGATTGCTAAGCTTATAACTGTTTGATAATTATCGGATAATTATCTGATAAATATCGCGATAATTATCAAAAGATATATTTATCTTGATAATTTCATACCCTGACTAGCATAATATTTTATAGAAGTTTTTGAAGTTATACTTTTTTTGAGACGTCTGGAAAAAAATATGAGAGTAATATTTTTACGATGCGCGCGCACACCGACAGCCAAAAAGCGACATGATGAAGTTAGCCGCGTTCCTTTTACAAACAGAGAGTTGTGACATACGGGATGAAATTTTACTATTTTTGTTCTGTTACGCCAACGAAGTATATGTTCTTACGTGCGTTCATAAGTACACACACACACACGTTTTTTTTTATTATTACACATTACTATGAACATGGTCACTTATATTAAATAGACCCTTTCCTGGTTTAAGTTATATAACTAAACTCGGAGGATCAGATCACAGTCCCGCACGGTCAAGTGTGGACGAGCTGAGCATGTCTGCAGATAACTTACGAGGTTCTCTCAGACATGCAGGTTTCCTTACGATGTTCTCCTTCACCTTAAGACAATTGATGATGTTGGAAATGATTCGCAAATGAGAATACCAGCGGCGAGATTCCGGATTCAAATCCGGTTCAAACCCGCTTCACTCAGTTGCCCGAGCGAGCGCGTTACCACTGGGCTACTATGAACATGCACTATATACTTATCGCCCTCGTATTGGAAGGGCTGTGCCCAGCAGTGGGCCGTTAAAAAGGGCTGAATTAAAAAAAAAACTCAAATAATTAACTTTGAAGGAAAATATTTTGTACAACAGTATATTATTATTATATCTACATATAAGCTAGTTTAAAAAACGCGGCGGTTGAAACGTGCGGTCCAAATTTTATTAAAATTTACTGTATAATATATCTTTACTGAGCGCTTATCAAATGAGTAACTTTTACAATTCAACATCAAAGATCTTTTATTCTAACAGCGTTCCAAACACCACTAATATAAATCTTATTTGAAACGAGCGGCTATACCGCTCAATTAAAAAATAAAACTTAAAGCTTTATTAGGGTCAAAATATATATTTACTTATAAAGTAATTACAATTTTATATTTTAATGGCGAATTTTGTAGTACTTATATATGAGGCTATATTACCACAAATATATATATATTTTTTAATATTTTTCCTACATTTTGAATAAATCGCATGTCAAATTATTCCAAGGTGGCGGTGGACAGTTATATATAAATGCATTAAATATAAGTCAAGTTAACTGTATTCCTTATTTTGTATTTATTTATACGTCAAATTTATACCCCTTAAATACCCCTTAGGCCCCCTAAACAGGGGGCCTAAATTTAATGTCAAAAAATCTAACAACTTAATTATCAGCGAGCTTAGAACAGATATTCTACAATATCGATGGGATAAAACTAAAATATCTATACATCTTTCCGGTTCTTTATCTTAAGGGCAAAATCAGAACCCACATAAAAACTCTTCTTTTTTTTAAAGTATGGAGGTGAAAAGGTCCTAATAGAAAAAATAAAACAATAGAGTTTCTAAAATACTTTCAACAAAAATTATTTTAATCAAACACGTTGAGTAGTTTTTGAGATATGGGAGGGATATTTTCGGTTTAGTTAAGTTTGGCCGCAAAAATATTTAGTCTTTAGTTAGACTCGCACTTGTCATTTTTTATTTATTTTTGTCAATTTCTGTTAGGGATCACGATTGTAGAATATCAACTTTTCTAATCTGTCTCAATTTTAGGGCTCCCTACTCTAAGAAAGCCTGACAGGCCCCCCTACTACATATATATACCCCTTTATACTACGTTCCACGGGCTGAATAATAACCCATTTCCACCTAAGTGTCTCAAAGGCCCCCTACCCCAAAAGGGCCTTTAAAGGGTACGACTCATTAACTGGATTTCAACGGGTTTAATAATAACCTAACACTTTCTTAACCTTATCTTCTCAAAGGCCCCCTACTTTGAAGGGCCTCTAAAGGGGCCTCAAGGACCCTAACGTGGACGATGATCCCTCAAATGCCGTAAAGCACATCTAGCCGCAGTTCCCTTCGCAATACGATAGTTTCGACCGACGCCTTTGAACGTCCCTCGACCAAATACTTCGACACAAACACGTACACGTCGTCCGTCCGCTAAACGCTCAGGTTTACTGAAAAAAAAAACAATATTTTTATCTTTTTTCATGTCCATTCAAAATCACAATAAATTAAAAATATATAAAAATAAAACAGTATTTTATTCTCTAGCTATTAAGATTTTTTTAAATTAACAATATTCTTATAATTATCTGCTACATCTATTCTAATATCTATTTTAATATTATAGAGGAAAAAATAATTTTGTTGTTTGTATAGAATAGGCTTTGAAAGTACTGAACCGATTTAGATGAAATTTTCTAAAAAGATAGTTTGAGACTCTGGGAAGGACATAGAATAGTTTGTATGAGGAAACAACCTAGGAACGAACCCGAGTGAAGCGAGGGTGAGTCGCTAGTGCTGTATATATCAATTACATTTTATTTTATATTTAAAAAAATAAGTTGTAAGATTACATTTCCTAATATTAAAACAATTTTTTCTGACACCCCCTAAAAAGCCTTCATTAAAAAAAAATGCGACATTTTTTTTTAATTCAAAACAACACGTCATGCAGACAAACTAACGTATGGTTGCTCTTGGTTGTCTTGTGTGCATGTCTCACCCAAACTTAGCAGTGTCGGGCTCCGCCTCGAGCAGCTCCCGGACCGGGGACTTGGGTGCGGCCGCGCTGAAGGCATCCAGCTCCGCACTCAGCAACGCGCCCACCGACCGCCACACCGCACCTAACGACATACCTGTAAAGAGGGTACTTATATATTTTACAAATCACTACATAGTATAAAACAAAGTCGCTTCCCGCTGTATGTCTGTCCCTATGTATGGTTAGAATTTTAAAACTACGCAACGGATTTTGATGCGGTTTTTTTAATAGATAGAGTGATCAAGAGGAAGGTTTATGTGTATATTATATTACATGCATATTATAGTACAGAAAAGCCGAGAAATTCAAAGACTTGTATTTCATACTTACTGTTAAAACGTACCTAGGGACGAACCCGAGCGAAGGGTGAGTCGCTACTATAATATAATCAAATATATCCCACGTGAATCGTTACATTTATCCGGGATATAAAATAGCAAGTGTGCTATTCTAGACTACGATCTATATCTGTGCCAAATTTCATTCAAACCGTTCAGCCGTTGTGGAGTGATTGAGTAACAAACATCCATCCTCAGAAACTTTCACATTTATGAAATTAGCTATATAACATTTTATTCTCTAAATAAATAATTTAGGTTTATTTATTTTATTTATTTATTTATTTAAATTAGGTTACAAGATTCACTTTTTACACAAATATGTACTTTGCATCTCTCTCAATCACTCTCTTTCTCGCTTTCTTTCTCTCTCTCTAACTCACCGGAATCTAAGAATATAGCTCCTGTGACAGACTCGAATAGATCTCCCAACGCCTTGGGCACTTCCACGTCTTCCGCTTGCTCCATTTCGTCCTCTTGTATGAGGTAATGCTGGAAATAATATGTAAATTTAATTTAAAGACAATGTGACTTTTTTATATAAAGCCTACAATGAAAAAAAATTATAATCCATTGACATTTAAAGCGAAAAACTCCACCTCGGATAAAATATGCTTATATTATTTTTGTTACAGTCAAAACTACTTTTGACTAGAAAATATAGGTCAAAATCACTTTTGACTGATATCATCGACCAAGAGCAATAAAACAAATAACTTTTAAGAAATAAAAAAACAACCTAAACTAAGATATTTATAATCCTTGAGATAATATTAACATCATTCTTGAGCCGTTTCAAATTTTGGCTAAAAAACAGTTCTAACTGCAACAATTTTACATTATAACTCACCTCTTCACTAATAGAGTGCCCATTCTCCTCTTGTATTTTAACATATTTTGTTAGAACCTCGTTCAAACCCGGCGACATGTGTCTAAAATATCTGAAAATACATAATAATTAATAATATCAATTTGCAAACTAACTAATTATATAACCATAATATATATATATATATATATATATATATATATATATATATAACTAGAATAAATTAGATAATAAAAATTAAATAATCAAAGCGATAAAACAGAAAATAACATTTAATATTAAAAATAATAGTAACGCAGAAACCATAGTAATATAAAAATCTTATTAAATTAAATATAAGTAATACATAATCTACTTATCGCTAACTAATATTACGAGAAATGATGATAAATTTATCTTAGTAATAGTTAGCGATAAGTAGAAGTGATGTGTTTGTTTATCTGTCTGTCTATGTTTGTGTGCGTGTATGTATGTATGAACGTACTTGTGGAAGCCGTGCCTGGCGGCGAGCGTGGCGAAGATGGTGTTGTTGACGAGCGCCGAGCGCAGGTCGGTGAGCGCGCCGGGCGAGTGGCGCCGCGGGTCCTCGTACAGGTGCCGCGTGATCAGGTAGTCTGCGGGGGGCGGTGCAACGATAATGCGACACGAGAAAGAGACAACACACATAAATATATAGGATGAGCCGGCGAGAGAGTGAGAGACAATACATTGCCACGTTGCCATGGTAACCGTTGTAATTGTCTGACAAATATATAACATTATATTCTTTCCGTATATGATATTCTATAAATATATGATTGTAATATGCCTTATTTAATCATTAATTTGTTTTGATTTGATTGCGATATTTACCAAAGAAGTTTTACTTCAACCGCACGTAAAAGTTACACAAACACGTTTTTTTTTAAATATCAAAGACAATTAATAAGACATGAATACTCAATTTGTAGCGACAAAATCGCTAATCGCTCTGTTATGATACACTGTGACGTCACACTTGGTCTGACTACTGGTTCTACTGCTTTGAAACCTCCACCTATATTTACACTTTTTAATAATAATTATTTCTCAATCAAAAAGATATTATATTAAAAATATTGATATAGACTCAATTCGAAAACAAGAAAGATAATTTAAAAAAATATTTCACCTTAATTAAATCACTTATTGCCTGTTAATGAATAAATGAATGAATGAATGAACAAAACGAACGAATGTAGGAGCAAATCTAACCTAAAATGGCATCTCCAAGGAACTCGAGCCTCTGGTAGCAGTCTGTAAGCCTGTTCCTCTGGTGCGAGGCGTGGGTGAGGGCCTGCAGTAGAAGGGAGCGGTCCTTGAATCTGTATTGAAGCGTCCTTTCTAACGCATCGTAACCTGGAGATTTGAGAGAAATAATCGTATTCAATATGAAATATTAGACTTATCCACGCTTGGCTCGGTTGCCTAACAGTCTTTTAACAGACTAAAGATATGTATATATATATATATATATATATATATATATACACGGAGTCCACCAAAATAAATGTCAAAGTCAAAAATAGTTGCGCCATTTACTGTTCATGCTACTAAACTACTATTCTCGATTTTGCTATACAGATTTAATATATTATATGTATTATTCTCACCGGAAAGCATTTGTTCCAACTCTCCCTCGGGATCTTCTATGTACCTTAACAGTGGGGACGGAGGCGCTTTCAGCTCTCCATATATTGGCTAAAATAAAAAAGAAAATTGTTATTTAAGTTAACATTATTATTTTTGATTTTAATAATTATAATCTATACTAATATTATAAAGAGGAAAGATTTTTTCTATTTCGGAAATCATCCCTTAAGGGGGTGAGAATGGGGATGAAAGTTTGTATGGGGAATCAAGCTAGGGACGAACCCGAGCGAAGTGAGCAAGTCGCTAATTATAAACAATGAGCACACAAAACATGCACGCACGCACACGGCGTGACTATGTACATATGTGTGTTTATGTATGTGTTTGTATGTATGTGTGTGTATGTATGTGTGTGTATGTATGTGTGTGTATGTATGTGTGTGTCTATGTGTATGTACACGCACTTGCCACCAGCGTCCCTGTGCGTCGCAGTAGGGCTTGAGCGCGCCCACCGCGCGGCCCGGCCAGCTCCAGTCCGGGGGCGGAGCGCCCTCGGGCTCCTCCTCCGAGGACGACTCCGACGAGCTCGGCGACGTGGCCTTCGATTTGTCTTTCTGGAATCCATTTTGGAACAATGTAAAAATGTTGGTATTCCACTTGATAAGGCTGTCGGGATGCGGAGGGGATTTTATGTTCAGAATTTAAAAAAATATATGACAAAACAGTTCTTATGATATATGGCGGGAAAGAGAGGAGATATGCCACTGATCAGCCATCACCTACACCATAATATATCCAATATCTTAACAGTCTACGTTACCTTCCGTTACCTTCGTAACAACTGTTTTCAATTACATGAAAAAATCTAAGTTTCCTAAAACATTCCTTCTAATTCTGACGCCTGGTCTCCTCATCACGTGTGGGTGACAAGAATATCAAGGGGCACCAATATATCTTAGATGTAAAAAAAAAAATCTTACACTTCTCCGGTAAAAGTCTAGAGGCTCTCTGCCTTTCGACTAATTTATATTTTTAGACATACTGTGTTGTGTTACAGTTTATACATAGTAAAAGGAAAATATTAAATACGAAACAAAACCCCAAAACGAGTGATAGTTTTGATTTAATGACCAAAGACACACTGAAAACTAAAGTAAAAAAATTACAATTAATAGACGCCGGAGAATTGCATGTGTGCGGAGACACAACACGTGTAACGAACGTATTTAACATAATTTTAATATTATTAAATAAAACTACCTTATCTCTCCCGTGACCATGGATGCTGTAAAGCATTCGAAACGTCGGGAACCAAAAATCAAAATAAATCCGTGAAATAATCCGAAAAGATAGTTTTATTTAATAATGTCAAACATTCGCGTAAATCTAAGAAAGTATTATAATTTTAATATATTATTTTACCTATTGTACGGTGTCCTGTACACATACAAAAAAAAATCCCACACACTCACCGACCTCCAGTAAAAGATCGACAGGCAGAACGGTAACAATCCAAATTGTCCAAGTTAAAAAAAACAAAGCTCCCCACTCACCCCCTCCCCCTCCTCCTCGCGCGCCCGCCGGCGGCGCGGCGGGCGCGAGGCGTGGGCGCGGGTGCGGGCGTGGGCGCGGGCGTAGGGGTGGGCGGCGGGCAGCGGCAGCGCGTGGCGCGGCAGCACGCGCAGGCCCAGCCACGACATAAAGAGCAGCGCGCCGCGCGGCCCGCACGCCAGCAGGTACGCGCCGATCAGCGCCTCCACGCAGTCCGCTATCGACTTGTCTGCGGGGATTCCCGGGGGATCGGTTACGCGGCAGACGACACGTTAGGCTCGGTTCGCAGTGACCCTACTCGCTGACGCCACTATAAACTCAACCATTTCGTTTGACCAGTATGGTATTTCAATCCATGGCCTTCAAAAAATTCCTTCGCGCATTTTATCAAAAACTTGTTTCGGAATTTTGGCTTTATTTCAATTAATAATTAATAATGAAAATTTGCGAAGGGCAACGCCGCTATGAACCATATATATGAACTATTCTCCGCCATACAATAAGTCAAAATTGTTGAAGAGTTTAAGTATCTCTGAATAAGGGCATTTAATTGAAAAATCAAGGTCGTAATGTAAAAGAGTCTGTGTGGAAGCTACCACCAATTATTGACATTTAAATATCAATTTTATTAGTATGAAACGAACATTGTATATAAATTGAATTTTATTAATAATAAATTGTAACAGAATCGAATCTGTAAATTCTGTCTGTCTGTCTGTGACCGCAACACAGAAAAACCACTGGACAGATTTTGATGAAATTCGGTATGATGATAGCTGGTTATCCGGGTCAACATATAGGATACTTTTTATTGCGTGAAAATATCTCATCTCTGAGAAATCTATAGTGAACGTTAAAACGTAAGTAGGGACGAACCGAGCGCAGCGAGGGTGAGTTGCTAGTATTAAAATAAAACCTGTAATTAACATGATGAGTAAATAACTCACCTGGTATACTGTGTTGAGTTATAAGATTGTACGGTATGAAACATCCACTATTGTCTATGGGCGTGTCCGTGCTCTCCGTTTTCTCTTTACCGTCACCCTGCAAATAAAAAAAAAAGAAATAAAAAAAAATGTAAAAAAAAGGTTAAGTCAGTAAAAAAAATACTCATACTAATAACACTTAAATTATTGTGTTTTGTGTATTTATTGTATTTGTAACTTTAATTATTTATTTATAAAACTACCGGTTCCCCATACTAGAGGTTAATTTCAAAATACAAACTTTCATCCGCATTTTCACCCCCTTAAGGGATGATTTCCGGAATAAAAACAATCCTATATCCTTTCCAGGGTCTCAAACTATCTTCTTACTAAATTTCATCTGAATCAGTTTAGTGATTCCGAAATTACCCCCTACAACGTCACAAACTCACAAACTTTACCTCTTTATAATATTAGTATAGATGAAAAAGAAAGATAAATAAATTATAAATATTTTTATAATAATAAAAAAATGAAATAAAAAAAGGGGAAATAGATATTTTTTTCATTTTTTCACACACACACACACACACGCACAGACACACAGACGCAGCCGGGCACCTGGTGCGCGTGTAGCGTGGGCGGCGGCGCGTGGCACGGCGGCAGCCAGTTGTCGTGCGGCTCGAACTTAGACGCGATCATGCGCGCGCCCAGCCGCTTGGCGCGCCCCAGCCGGTACAGGTTCAGGTTCGACACCTGCGGGGACCGAGTTATTCAATACGAACACTCAACATATACGAACGAAATACACAAATGACGTCTCAAAAGCGTACACAATTCGTTGTGCGCATTTTTGAATTAGTTTCGAATTGCATGAGCCACAGAGCACACGTCCGGAATGTCATTATGTTCATTACAAAAATGTAAAATTATTTTAAAAAAAATGGGATATCGTATTTTGACAAGTAAAAATGTTAATTAATATGTTTTTGTAATATATGTTACAAAATATAACAACCATTTTATTTTCTTTGTATTTTACTTCTCATAACAGTCAATATTATTATTAGACAAATTTCAGTAGCCGCTTATTTGCTATATTAATAACTAGTCGGTTAGTCTGAGATCTTTGAATTTCTTGGCTTTTCTGTACTACAATATGCATGTATTATACATATAAACCTTCCTCTTATATCACTCTATCTATTAAAAAAACCGCTTCAAAATCCGTTACGCAGTTTTAAAGACCTAAGCATACGGAACATAAGGGACAGACAGACAGCAGGAAGCGACTTTGTTTTATACTATGTAGTGATATATTTAAACCTCATTGTATACTTGGTCGCCTAATAGCATGAATTTATATTTATTCTCGTCCTCATCAGACCCCATAATGAGATATACCAATCCCAACCCAATCCCACCGAATCCCACCCCGATCCCACCTGCTTGCTGCGCATGTGCGAGAGCTTGCCCTCGTGCACGGCCGGGTGCGCGCAGTACAGGTACGCTGTGATAGCGAACTTCAGGAAGCTGTCGCCGATCGTCTCCAGCCGCTCCAGGTTTATGCCGTCGTTGGCGTTCGACATCGTCAGTGCCTTGAACCGTATACATACAATAGAGAAGTTGTATTAATATTATTTTTTTGCCACAAATTTATATACTAACTACCAGAACCCGTGGCTTCGCTCGCGCTAAAACTACAGAAAAAAACTCTAAAAAGGTAGGTTTCATACAAACTTTCATCCCATATTTTACCCCCTTATGGGATGAATTTCGAAAAATGCTAAAATATGTATTTGTTTAATTGTATTGAAGAGCATTAACACCATGTTTCAAGTAATTCTAGTCATAATATTTTTTTTGGGTTGAATTATAACGTGTTTTCCCGTGGGAATTAGATAATCTTCCACGGTAAAAAGTAGTCTTTGTCACTCTCCAGTCCTTGTCCTCCAACAATCTCCACACAAAAAATCACGCCAATCCGTCACTCCGTCTCGATGTGAAAGAAAGACAAACAAACAAACAAACAAACAAACACACTTTCATATTCATAATATTAGTATGGATGAAAGAATTTAAAATATATTTAAATATTTTTTTTGTCATTAAAAATTCATTTTTTTTTTGTAATTTTTGAAAAATTCTTAAATTTTTGAACGAATTAAAACGACTTGTGGTTCAACTGACGTCATTATACCCGTCGAGGCTGTGAGCCAATCGGGATCAGGGATGACTAAGTTTTTTTTAAACTCGAATTCAAAACAACTGATATAAACACACGGTTAGTATACAAAAACATACATATTTACAAAACTCACCTGTAAAATAAGACTGGGACTAGGCCCCGGATGTCCCTCCAAATCCGGTTGAAAATCAAAGTCAAACTCTTTCCCATTCTGACCTTTTTCCATATAATACGGCTTATACTCATGCTTATCCTTCCAAGAATTAACTTTTTCTGCATATTTCTCTTTGGAATCGAACCCAACATTAACTACCTTTTCATTGACATAATCTTCTCCATCTATATCTACATCTTTCATGGAGAAACAGTTCATTTTTTTAATTTCCTCATCAGACAAAGACTTCTTCAATTCAGCCAATAAAACTCTTTTGTTTTTTTCTATAGATTCCAGTGTTATCTGACCATTTTCAAATTCAATTTTATTGCCATATGGAAATATTTCGTCTATGATTTTTTGATTTGGAATTTCTTTCGGTTTTGAATTGTCTTTGGCTGTCATGTCTTCTTTTGACATATTTTTGTCATTATTTTTATTATTATCTATAATAATTTTCATTTTATTTTGATCGTTGGTCGAGTTATGTTTATATTTGAACAGATTATCTATATTGTCTATGATATTTTTATTAGGTTCCGGTAGTAGATCGACTATTTGTTTATTTTTGTCTATTAAAAGACCGTTGTCTTTGATCTCGTTTTCATGCTGCATTACTGAAGATCGAAACTTTTCTACATACTGTAAAGAACATTAATATATAAGTATTCATATATTAACTAATTAAAACTTTAAAGAAAACCGACTCCCAGGCGCTAAAATGTAAAAAATAACTAAACGGGGGTCTTCATTTAGTACAGATAACTAAGCAGATATTTTCGAACCATCTTTTAGAAATGCAAAGAGGAATTCGAATTTGAAATTACAACACCCCCCCCCCTCCACCCCCCGCACATAACAGTGTAGCACAACTCTACCCCCCCCCCCCCCGCTCACCTCCGGCGGGGCGTCCCCCTCCCTCAGACAGTCGCGGTGCGCGCGGCGGTCCGCGGCGTCGTCGCGGGCGTCGCGGTGCGGCGCCGGCGCCACCGCGCGCGCGCGCCCCACGTCCACCGCCTCCGCCTCGTGCGCCGTCTTGTACTCTATGCGCACGCCCATCGCCGCTGCGCACAGAGAGAGACAGAGATAGATAATGAGAGAGAGAGACGAACTAGGTTCCATTCGCTGTCGCCATACATTGGTCACGAGTACCAGGGTAGCATACACATCGAGCACTACATGTTGAAGCTTATCATCAAGAAAGACCTGCATAGAGTGCACACGAATTTCTTACTGCATACATACACTCCTCAACACTTATGATCGCCTGGTACTTTTATCACAAGTATTAGGGGAAGGCGAATCTCGACGAGTGCTCATTATATTTAGGGCCCCATCAAAGAGTAAATACGACCTCCTCAACACTTATGTTCACCTGGTACTTGTGATGACGTCACATTGGATGCTCTCAATCTATACCATACATATAATAAAATTGTAACTAAGCCGAATCTGTACATTAAATATTTTATGGTAAATCTTAATGAAATAGACATTATTATCGATACAGAGGCCGAATCTATAGTTTTTAGATTTGTTGTCTGTCTGTTACCGCATCACGGAAAAACCACTGGAGGGATTTTGATGAAATTTGGTATGATGATAGCTGGTTATCCGGGTCAACACACAGGATACTTTTTACTGCAGGAAAATATCTCATCTCTGAGAAATCTATACTAAACCTTAAAACGTAAGCAGGGACGAACCCGAGCGGAGCAAGGGTGAGTCGCTAGTAAGACAATAAGATATTACCATTAGAATTCCTGCTGCTGCAGAAGCCCGTGGTGTCGGTGTCGTCGTCGCTGCCGTCCGTCATGTCCGTGTCGTCGGTGTCGAAGTCGCTGTGGAAGAACACATACAGTTACTAGGTTGCTTCACCATACAAACTTTCATCCCCCTTTTCACCCCCACAAGGGATGATTTCAAATGTCATCTAAATCGGTTCAGTAGTTTCGAAGCTTATTCGGTACAGACAAACAAATAAACAAAAAAACCTCTCTCCTATTTATAATATTAGTATAGACTAACTGAACAAGTACATAATCATTTTAATAGCAATTTTTCGTAGTTTAAGTGAAAAATTTAATAATTTTTTTATCAAAATCGTTCAATTAACTATAGCAAAAGTCACCGCTTCAATCTCGGATGGAGACGATTTTGACGTCAAGTTATTTCGTATTTTTTTCCTAATTTCCTCTCAATACCATATGCTAAATTCCATCATAATCGATTCAGACGTAAAGAGTTTAACAAGTGGCAAACAAACACGCACTTACCTAGACATATAAGAGCAGTCGCTGTCTGCCATTGAAAACGTACGGCCGGTATTGTACTGCCCTTTCGGCTTTTCTATCGGCTCCGACCAATTCGCTCCACCTACATACAAAAGAAATATATTTAATCTGTATGTTACTGTAAGACCAAGTTTTTAGTAAAACCATAAACGGTTTAAATTACTATGGTAGAAATGCAGTTTTAAAAATTAACACACCCAAGAAAGATCCATTTTCAGATATTTATTAGTAACTCAGATTTCCTTCGCATTTATATTACAGTAACTTTTAGAAGCAGTACTTTCACAAAATGTTCATAAATTTTAACTTATATAAATAAACTCTCTTTAATATTTTTATATCTATATAAATAAAAATGAATCACCGAAATGTATGTACGCGCATAACTTCCGATCGACTGCACCAAATTGGATAATTATTTTTCTTGTATTAGTCATTGTCCGGAAGTTTTGTATAGAAGAAAATTAAAAGATTTTTTTTTACTTCAATAAGAATTTTTTTAACTATTATGATATGAAAAGTGAGTGGGAAGAAGTGAGAAATAGTTTTCATCCCGGAAGTCATCCCTTAAGGGGGTGAGAATGGGGATGAAAGTTTGTATGAGGAAGCAAGCTAGGGACGAACCCGAGCGAAACGAGGATGAGCCGCTTGTTTTTTTTTATTTTTTGGTTATAACCATATGAAAATCTGAATTGTAATTGAAATTATAATATGTAATTATTATTGAACGATATTTTCTAACCTAGCGCCTTCTATATACATAAAAAAACTAAAATCAGTTTATCATACTAAGTACATTGTGTGACACACAAAAATACCTCTAAACCCATTTAAATCACGACGCGAGACGATCATTGGTGTAAAGCAAAATCCTAAGAAACGATTAGATTTAAAATGTCAAATATTCGAGTAAATCTATTTTTTTTTAGGAATCATGGATGTATAAACAAAATAAAGAAGAGAAAGAGGTAGAGAAAAGAGAGTATAATGAGAAATGGGAGTATCATTTTCAAAATCGCCTTAAAACCACTCACCAGACGAAGAAGTACAGAAGGTGAGGTTAGGGGGCAGCGGTTCCAAGAGCTCGTCGTACTCCTGCGGTATGGACGAAGCCATTTCGTTACTCCACGTGCCTATTTCGAAACCCTGGAAAGGGGAAATAAAACAATCATATCCTAATCTATACAGATAAAATTGAAGTGTCTGTGTATATTGTCAATATAACAGCTTTTTACTAAATGCGTATGAAATATTACGATACTTATAAGAAAAATGTTTTTTTTTTTTATTTTTGTTTATCTGTATTTGATCCGGCTTATCTCCGAAACGGTTGGGCTGATTTTGATGGGATTTTCACTGGCAGATAGTTAATGTTATAAGGAGTAACTTAGGCTACTTTTTTTTTTTAAAGAATTAGGGTTCCGCACAAAAAAGTTAAAACTTAGCTAGGGTCGCTAGTTACCTATATGTTATTCGAGCTCATAGTCTATCTGTGTACTAAATTACATCCAATCCATCCAGTAGTTTGAGCGTGAAGGTGTAACAAACATATATATATATACATACAAAAATATACACATACAGTGTGTTTTTATATAATATGACACTCACACTTTCCGCATCTAGTTTCTCTTGTAATATATCATTTATAGTTTTCTCTCTCACTTCTTCTTTCTTATCTTCTATTTCTTTCTGGTGTACTTCTTTCTCTTCTTTTGTTCTGAAAAAAAAACACATATTTATAATCTCTATTTAATATTTTAAACCATTTCTGCTTTGTTTGAACGCGTTAGTTTCTTGAAGTATAGGTCAGTTTTAAAACTTCCTTTTGCATTTTCAAGCCAATTCATTAAGGCATTTATACTAAAAACCTTAATTTCGATACCCCACTTGTTTACGCTTCCGTAATTTAGTTTAAGTTAGTTATAAGCAATTTTTTGTATAACAAAGTTATTGCGGTTAAAATTAATCAGGCGCTTCGCCATACCACTCGAAAGATTTCGAAGAAAAAAATTTAAAGACACTAATTGGCATCAGAAAGACGAATCTAAAGACGTATGAATCATCAAAATCGGTCAAGCCATTCAATAATTACGAGGGAACCATAGGATATACATACATATTTACATACATACAGGTAAAACACATAACCCTCTTTTGAGCTCCGCCGCAGTCGGGTAAAAAGGTAACAAAACGCATTAATAAAAATATATTACCTGTACTCTTTATCTTCCTTCTTGGCATCCTCATCGTCTTTCTTTTTCTCACTTTTGTCATCCGCGTTAAGAACCTAGAAAAAAATCATAATAAGAATGTGGTCAAGTGTAAGTTGCACTTACGTTGACTTTGAGAATATGCGAAGACTTAAGATTTTCTTTATGGTGTAATAAACAAATTATGGAACAATAATAACATTAACCACCCACCGCCACTTTAATTTTTTTAAATGAAAGTGACAACACGTTTGGCTTAGTTTGTAGTGACCCTACTTGCTGTGCCAGCGGTTGCGGGTTCGAGTCCCGCTGGGGGCATTTATTTGTGCGACGAGCACGAATATTTGTACTCAAGTCATGAGTGTTTATATTTATAATATGTATATATTTAAAGTTATATATGTGTAGTGTATCAATTATTTGGTATCCATAACACAAGTTATATTTTACCATGGAACTAGATGGTACTGTGTGTCCATGTCCGAACATATTTATTTATTTATTTAAAAGTAGCGACACAGTGATACAAGTACAACACAGCTAGAAGAACAAGGATAAAGAATAATACCTCAGCCAGACTCCATCCAAAATCCAATGGCGGCCATTGGAAGCCGGGACAGGTCTCATCATCTATCCGGGGGATCCCCAATCCCACGTCTATGGCCACAGCTCGTCTGATTTCATCGGCTATCAATAAAGCGTTTATCCTGGAAAGATAATGTATATATATATATATAATAAAATTATTAGGATTTGTTTTTGTTTATCTATAATTACTGAAAAATTGGCCAAGTGTAGCACACACCGGTAGAGCACGCAGGGCAGCGCCACGACCGCGAACCACAGCGGCGCGGCGAAGGGGTGCACGCGGCACAGCTCCGGCACCAGGATCTGCTTCTGGTCCAGCCGGTCGCGCTTGGCGCGCCGCGTGCGCTCCGACGACACCGGCAGCGCCACGCCCTTGCGGTTCACGTACCTGACCATCGGAAAGAGAAAGATAACATCCCCTATCTGCCGATCAAAGTCCCGTCCGAATCGGTCCAGCGTACCGAAGATAAGCCGGAACAAACATAAAGGCAAATTGTGTCGGTATTATAAGTAGCGTATATAATTTCATACACATTTAGTAAAAATGAAATCGTACGAAGAATGGAGAAGCATTTTATTAGAAAGCGGTGGCAGCGACCTGGGCGTGAGCAGGTTGAGGCGCGCGCTGGTGTGGTCCACGTCGAGCAGCGGCTGCGCGCGCTGCGTGAGCTCGGCGCCGTACTTGGCGCGGTAGTAGGCGCGGAAGCTGGCGTGCTGCGCCGACGGGAACGCCGACTCCGGCGTCAGGTGCCAGCAGATCTCCGCCACCAGGAAGAACTGCAGGGAAACAGGGTAAACTTATTTGACTAACTTCCAAAAATACGAATGTTCAAAACCTATGCTGAATAAGACATGAAAAAACACTGAATAAATAAATAGATAAAAACATTTTTTCGGCTTTATTAAAGTCGAATATGTCTTTAATACAAATAAAATTGACGTCTAAAATTCAATAATCCTGAATCAAAAACACTTTAAATAAATCGTAGCGTAATTTGCTGTTTATGTTACTATTCTCGATTTTGCCATACAGGTCGTTTACCTTCTTTACAGAACAAGAAAATTTTGTATCGGTATTACTTCAATTAATATACAATTGTTTGGAATAAAATATAAATAATAAATATAAGACTATATTCTTTTATACTTTTCAAGCACTAACTTCATTTTTTTTATTATCATAACATCCGTCAGCTATATATTTATTAACATTTATTCAATTATTATCAGTATACAAATTGTTATTTGTATACTATTTTAAAACATTATATCTATATATATTATAACATTCTGAGTCGAATCTGTACATTGAATATTTTTTGGAAAATCTTTAGAAATAGTCATTATTTTCGATACAGAGGCCCGACTATATAAAGAGGATCTACAGTTTTAAAATTTTTTGTCTATTTGTCTGTCTGGGAATGCATCACGAGAAAACCACTGGATAGATTTTAATGAAATTTGGTATGATGATAACTAGTTATCCGGGTCAATATATAGGATACTTTTACTGCGGGAAAATATCTTATCTCTGAGAAATATATACTAATCGTTAAAATGTACCTAGGGACGAACAATTCACAACAAATACCAAACACCTTTTATTTAAAATCGGACAATAAGCTACAGTACATATCTTACCTGTGGTTGATCCTGATTTCTATACCACGGTGTGACCACTGCCTCTTTATATTTCTCTGCATCAAAAACAAACACTTCTCCGGGTTTCAATAATGGATTCTCCATCTTCTTCACTTTCTCTTTATCCTTCTTATCCTTTTTCTCCCCCTCCTCCCATAGAATTGGTTTCTCTATTTCTTGAAGTTTCTTCTCTTCTGTGTGTTTGTATATCAGTTCTAAGAACGGCCAGTCGATATCTATCCATGTTGACCCATCCTCTCTCGTTTCTAAGAAATGGAAAGAAGAGATATTGCCATTATCCCATCCGTATTAATATTATAAATGTGAAAGTTTGTTAGTATGGATGTTTGTTACTCTTCCACGGCAGAACGGCTGTACGGATCTGGATGAAATTTGGCACAGATATAGATTATAGTCTAGAATAGCACATAAGTTGCTCTTTATACAGGAAAAAGGCACGATTCCCGTGGGAAAATTTGTTTTCATTTTTACTGGGATGAACCCGAGCGAAGCGAGTATGAATAGCTAGTGTTTAATAAATTATAAAATTGCGATATATACTATTTAGGTTAACTAAAATATATGTACATATTTATGTAATATATTAGACAGATTTTTTGCCTAATTGACATAAGTTTTCATAGCATACTTGCTACTTCTGTAACAGAACAGGCTGAATTATTTTTTAATGAAATGATAAAAAAAATGGAAGCAACAGCCATGTAGATGAATGTACGTTTTTGTGATACGATACTGGCATAATCTCAAGGTATTCAAAGACCTTTAAAATTATGAAAATTAAAAAAAAAGTATCATTTCTATTTTTATACATTATCCCCATTTTCACCCCCTTAGGGATGATTTCCGAAATAAAAAGTCCTTCCCAGAGCCTCAAACTACCTTCTTACTAAATTTCATCTAAATTGGTCCAGTAGTTTTTGAGTTTATTCGTTACATACACATAACAATACAAATCTTTTCTCTTTACAATAGTACTATAGATTTAAAAAAAGCAACAAAACTACTCACTTTTAACAGTCGGCACAATATAATAATTGTTATGTGTAGACCCCTCCATTTGCAGTTTCATCCCGCGGCGTCTCACTCGAAGGACGTCCGAAAAGACAAAACGCATGAATCTAAACAAAATAATAAATATTAACATAAAGAGAAAAAAAAACAATGGAATGCCACCATTTTGGGTAGAAAAATTAATTTTGAAATCAATCATCTCTCATGCATCAATCCAAATGTAACTATATACATTTTACACTTTATTAATGTAAGCAAAATATTAAATAATCATAATACTTTTTTACCAAAAATCAAAATAAATCCACGAAAAAATCATTCAAAATGTTAAATAATCATATTTGGAAAAAAAAGTTTAAATTTATTTGTTTTTATTTTAATTATTTATTTTATTATTATGCAGATTGAGGTGGAGATATCGCTCCATCTCACTCCCACGCTGCACTTATGTATAAGTACAGAACATACCGAGTGAAATGGAAGAATGTAGTCTCCCTCGCTCACTGCACTTTCGTATAAGCTTAGAACATATCAAGCGGCATGAAATCTCTCTCCACCCCCCCCCCCTCCCTGCCTATCTCTCTCCTCTCCCCCACCTGTGTATGAGTTCGGCGCGGCGCGGCGACAGGCGCACGTCGGCGCCCCGCGCGGGCTCCACGGACACGCGCACCTCTCCCGACCGCGTATACACCGGGAACGCCGGGATCTGCAGTCTGCGGACCGGGATACTATTTAATTAGAGTAGCTACTCACCCTCGCTTCGTTGGGATTCGTTCCTAGGGTAATATGTATATAAATTCCCTATTTGAATTGGATATAATTCAATTTTTCATAGGTTTAAAATTTTTTTTCGTTGGACAGTATTTTTTTTAATAAAAGTAGCCTGAGTTACTCCTTATTACATCAGCTATCTGCCAGCAAAAGTCCCGTCAAAATCGCTTCAGTCATTTCAAAGATTAGCCTGAACAAACAGATAGACATATTAAATTTTTTTAAAAAATGTTTTGTCATATGTACCAAGTATACAATCATACGCATTTAGTAAAAAGCTGTTATTTTGACATTAAGAAAAGCATTTTCCATTTTATTTATTTATATAGACATATAAAGTGTGTCTGTTGAAGTAATGTATAATGTAGATATTAAATCAAAACAGACCAGTACTATTTTATATATTTATTATAACTTTCGAACACAGAGAAAAGCTTATGCGTAACGCCATGACAGGTAAAGTAATTATATAGAACAGTAGGGGTGAGGATATAGATGGCGCTATATATAGAATAAAAAAAGATTATAAAATTTACCACAGATTACAACACGCCTCCTTAAATTTATAATCTTGAACTTTTACTTATACAATACATACCAATTACCAAAATGTTATAAACATATTTTACTTATCAAACTCTTATAAACATATCCTGTGTATACTAAATTAATCTTAATCCTAATCTATTTCTAAAAAATGTAGTTTTATTTAAACTTTTAGTTAACATATCTGCTAAATTAAATTTTGAATCAATTTTTACAATATTAATTATACCTTTTTCATAATTTTCATTTACATAATGATACTGCACTTCGATGTGCTTTGAATTCTTTGTAAAATTGCCATATTTAGCAATCGACACTGCACCTGAATTATCTTCATATAATTTTATTGGTTTATCAAATTTTACATTGAATGATTCACTTAACAAGTTTTTAATGAAAAGTACTTCTGTCACTGCTTCTGACAAAGCAATATATTCTGCAAAAGTTGAACACTTAGTTACTGTACTCTGTTTATGTGTTTTCCAAAAAATTAAGTTATCATATAATCTAATTATAAAACCTGTTGTAGACTTTCTATCTATATTATCTCCTGCATAGTCAGAGTCTACCATACAATCTAATATTTCAGTATTTACATTATCATAGTATGTTAACTTTAAGTCTTTAGTCTTATATAAATATTTTAAGATTCTCATTGCATATTTATAATGTGTACGATCATAACAACTTTGATATCGACTTAAGTAGTTTACACTGTACGCTATATCTGGCCTAGTGCCTGTACTAATATACAATAATTCACCTATTATATTTCTATACTTTATACTATCATCTACTTCTCTAGCTTGTTCTAATTTTAAGTTTGTTTCCATAGGAGTATCATATAACCTAGTATTTTCCAGATTATATTTTATAGCCAAAGATTCAATATATTTTGTTTGACTTAATGTCATTCTTTTTCTATCATCACTATAATCAATATCTATGCCAATATAACTTTTAATTTTGCCTAGGTCTTTCATTTCGAATCTCTCCATTAAACTACTTTTTACCTCTTTTATTTTATCTTTATCTTTACAACAAATTAAGAGATCATCAACGAATATTAGTATATATATTGGATCTTTGCTTGTATTATTTACATATAAACAGAAATCATAGTTACTTCTAACAAAATTCAATTTTTCAATACATGTGTTGAAACAATCATACCATACTCTAGGGCTTTCTCTAAGACCATATAGTGCCTTTTGCAATTTGTAAACTTTATTATATCCAGTTTCATAACCTTTCGGTTGATTTATAAATACTTCTGACTTTACATAACTATTTAAAAATGCTGTCTCAACATCCATTTGTTCTATGAATAAATTATTTTTACAACTGTATGATAATAAAATTTTCAATGTTTGCATTTTTCCTACTGGTGAATAAACATTTTCAATATATTCCTTTTGCTGGAATCCTCGTACAACTAACCTAGCTTTATAAACATTATTACTTTTCTTTTTAAAGACCCACTTGACATCAAGTACCTTTTTATCTTTTGGCCGTTCAACAATTTGCCATGTGTTATTTTTGTTTAAGCTATTTATTTCAGAGTCCATCGCTATTTGCCATTGTTTGTAATCATGGGAGTTCATCGCCTCCTCAAATGTATTAGGTACATTAGCATCAATGTAATTTACATAAATAAAATGTGATACTGGATTACCATATCTAGAAATTGGAGTTACTGTTCTTTTTAACCTTTTGTTTATTAAAAGCTTGTCCCTATTGCTACTTAAATTATCATCACTAACAAGATCTTTAACAGCATTATTAGAGCTAGTTTCATTAGAACCTACATAGCCTTCGTTACTGTCAGTTTCAAATATTTCATTTTTTATACTTGAAGTTTTGTTATTTTCCAAATCCCTATCCTTTTCATCATCAAGTTTTTCTAAACAAATTAATTGAGTATTTTCTTCGACTACCTGTACATGTCTGGCGTTAATTATTCTATTATTTAATAAAACTCTATAACTATTTTCATTATAACCTACTAACACTCCTAGTTGGGCTTTATCATCCCATTTACTTTTTCTTAAAACTTCTGGAACCCTAACATAAACTCTACTTCCATAAATCTTTAAATGCTCTACATTTGGTTTAATACCAAAAAATATTTCATATGGGGTTTTATTCTCTACTGTATTAGCAATTGTACGATTTTTTAAGTATGCTGCTGTTTTTATAACTTCAGGCCAATATCTTTTGTGAATTTTAGCTTCTTTCATTAAGCATCTACCTATATCCATAGCAGATCTATTATATCTTTCTGCTACTCCATTTAATTCATGAACATATGGTGGACATGGTAATAACTCTATTCCCTTATGTCTAATAAAATTATAAATATCTCGATTTAAATATTCTTTGCCATTATCGCACTGTATTTTCTTTACTTTTTTATTAAATTTATTTTCTACTAAGTTAACAAACTCTATAAAACAATTTGCAGTTTCTGCTTTACTTTTAATACAAAAAATTCTTGTACATTTACTATAATCATCGATAAATGTCAAAAAATATTTTTCACCGCCATAACCAGTTGTGCTATGTGGGCCGTTTAAATCAGTATGAATCAATTCTAAAATTTCAGTAGTCTTAGTTCTATTATTTTCAAAAGGTACATTAGCCATTTTACTTTCAATACAATTTGAACATTTCATTTCTGTGCTTTCAATTTTATCTGGCAAACCTTCTACTAATTTATTATTTATTAATTTGTTTAAATATTGAAAATTTACATGACCAAGTGCCCTATGCCATTTCTCTTTATTAGTTAATTTAATTGTATTTACATACATATCATTGTTATCAATGTTTAAGACAAAACTTTTTATACAATACAAATTGTCTATTTTATTAGCAACAACTATTAATTCTCTTGACTGATTATAAATTTTTGCATTTTCATTTCTTGCTACTATTGTGCAATTTTTGGTTATTTTTGAGAAACTTAACAAATTTTGCTTAATACCTTTTACAAAATAAACATTTTTTAAATCAACATGTTTTTCATTATAATTTTTGAAATAGATTTTGACAGTACCTACTTTGGTCGCTTTTAACATTTTACCGTCTGGCAGTTTCACATCTATGGGATCTTTTAAATCTATATAATTATAAAAATATGTCTCATTATTTATAATGTGGTCTGTACACCCACTATCTAACAACCAATTAATTTCACTATTTTTATCACATTCCACTTCACTACCCATTACCTGATTTATTTCTGGATTACAAACTTGAGCTATCCATGACTCGGCTGAAAAACAATCTTGCTGAGTGTTTGAAGACTCACCTCTGGGATGACTTTGACCTCTGCCTCTGCCACGACCTCGGTAAAATCCACCTCTGTTGTAACCTTTGTTGTAACTTCTATGTGGTTGTCTTCCTTGGTAGTTTTGATGTCCTTGCCTTTTCTGACCGTGCCAACAGTCCTTCCTGAGATGGCCTGTCTTTCCACAGATATAACATTGTGCTTTAGTTTTTATTGTAAAGGTACTCATATTACTTTTCTTGTCTGTATCACCAGTAGTCATATTTTTCTCTTTTATTTTAGACTTTATATAATCTACTGTTCTCTGTTCTTCTGGAATAACATCAATAAAATCTCCAATGTAACTGTAACTTGGAGGTAAAGCTCTGAGCAAGTATCTCATCTTCTCGGATTCATCTATATGTCCACCAGCCGCTTTGAAATCGTTCGTTGTTTTCTCAAAATCAACAAAAAAATCTTCTATTGTATTGTAATTGTTTAATTTAATCTCTTCAATTTTTCCCCTACATATTATTTGCATAGCAGTAGATTTTGTTAAATACATCTTGTCAAACTTTTTTATCATTTCTTGAGCTGTTGTACATTCGCTAACATATTCTAATTGTTTATCTGAAATTGTGCTCATTATTATAGTTCTTGCTTTTAAATCCATTTTCTTCCATTCCGCCTCTCGATTTTCATATTTAGCAGGCATCATGCAAATGGCGGGCTCGTTGCATTCTTTATATTCTAGTAAAGTTACTAACCTTAACTTCCAACTTGAATAATTTACACCATCAAAAATGGGTATCGTTATATCTTCAATCCTTGCTTGCTTGGCCATTTTGCTGATAATGTGCCGACGCGTATAAAGCGTCTATTCTTCACAATTCTACACGAGGCGTGAACTACTTTCCACGTGGTCTGTTTTAATCTCACTGTATATCAATTATTAACCAACTACGCTCTGCTACCATGTTGAAGTAATGTATAATGTAGATATTAAATCAAAACAGACCAGTACTATTTTATATATTTATTATAACTTTCGAACACAGAGAAAAGCTTATGCGTAACGCCATGACAGGTAAAGTAATTATATAGAACAGTAGGGGTGAGGATATAGATGGCGCTATATATAGAATAAAAAAAGATTATAAAATTTACCACAGATTACAACAGTGTCCTAGATACATCGGTGGTGCAGTGGCTAACATGTACTACTGCAGATCCAGACAGAGGTCCCGGAATTGAGTCTCGGGCCGGGCCGAGTTCAAGTATTGAAGTTTTCTATCAAAAATATCTCAACGGTAGGCCCGAGTCGGGAAGCTGGCGGTGTGTACCTGCGGCCGGCGGCGGCGCGGCGCATGAGCACGGCGACGGCGTGGCGCGCGCGCTGCGGCGCGTGCAGGCGGCGGCCGCGCGTGTTGTAGCGCTCGGGCAGCGCGCACCACAGCGCCGCCTGCACCAGGTGCAGCACGTTGCTGGCGGCGGCTGACCCAACACACATACGAGAGTTTAGACACATACCTACTACCTGTCCGCGCTAAATTTCCTGTCGTAAACTCTATTGCGTTTAACATATAGCGTTTTATGTTTTAAAACTATAACAAACCTATCCCACGAGAACCGTACATTTTTCCGGGATAAAAAGTAGACTGTATGTTGACCCGGATACCCAACTATCGTCATACCAAGTTTCATCAAAATCTGTCCAGATGTTTTCTCGTGATGCGTTCCCAGACAAACAAACAGACAAAAATCCTAAAAACTATAGATTCGGTCTCTGCACCAATAATAATTAATCTCTATTTCAATAAGATTTTCCAAAAAATATTTAATGAACAGATTCAGCTTAGTTACAATTTTTTTATATATATAGATATGACTGAATGAATAACCACATTTTTTTTTTCGAAATAAAAGCTTAGTAAAAACAAATATAAAAAACTTACGTAAATGGCAAATCTCTAATCTATATCTCTATGATATTATACATAAATTATAAACATAACTTTTATAATCAAAAAGCCTCACCGCCATCTTGTTTCCCATCGAGAACGGGATTCTTCTCTATTTCCTCATCCGTAGCGTCTATGATCGCTTGGCAATCTGTGAACTCCCACGCCGTCTGACAAACACACAAACAAACATATATATTAACTAGCACTGTACGCGGCTCCAACCGCGTTTTGATGACCAAAAACCAAATTCTTAGGTTTTACATATTTTATTTCAATAAGATTTTCCAAAAAATATCTAATGTACAGATTTGGTTTAGTTACAATTATATGGTGGTTGATAACTGTGACTCAGTTGTATAACTAATGCAGTTATTAACATAGAAACTGGTTATGATATTATATGAGCAAATGATGTTTATAGTAAATAAATAAAATAAATAAACATAAATAAAAAATAATATAAAGAAAAAGTGCTGCCACCACAGATAATACACTAACGTATAAAGTCGAAGTTAATGCGCGATCAAATTAAATTTAAATGAAGGGCCAAAAGATGTTCATTTATATAGTTTTTGATAAAACTCACCCGCTTGTAGTAATACTGCCGGCGCTTGGTGGTGCCGGGGCGCGCGCTGTCGCCGTCCGCGCTGTCCGCCGCCGGCGCGCTGCTCTCCAGCTCTGCAGCTTTAAAATTCTCTTTGCCTGAAGACAAATTACCAAATATCTTATTCTCTATCTATACAGATAAATAAAATTGAAGTCTGTTTTTTTGTTTAGAATTTTTTTTACTAAATGCATATGGAGTTATATTCGGAACTAATAAGAAAAACACAATCTTTTAAATTTTTGTACCTGTCTGTTTGTTCCGGATAATCTCTGAAACGGCTAGAATGATTTTGACGGGACTTTCACCGGCAGAGAGTTGATGTTATAAGGAGTAACTTAAGCTACTTTTATTTCATTAAAAAATTAGGGTTCCACTCAAAAAAATTAAAACGTTACTAAAGGACGAACCCTAGCGAAGCGAGGGTGAGTCGCTAATATATAAATATCTCGTGTCACGGTTTTTGTGATCGCACTTTTCCGAAACGGCTCGACCGAATAGAATAGGAGAATAGAATATATAAGAATAGGTCGTAAATTATTTTTCACCCTCCTGAAAAATCTATACTAAATGTCAAACGTGTTATGTAAAACGTAACGGCGCTAGTAAAGAATATAATTCAGATATTTTTATTTTTATTAAAATTTCTAATAGTTAAGTAAATGTCAATATAGTTAAATTGTAATTAATCAATATAAAAAAAATATAATACAGATAATTCAATTCTATAATATATACATATATTATAAAGTCCCTCCCACTCTAACTCCCTCCCCCCGGCACTCACCGATGGGCACGAGGTGGTCGTCGAGCTCGCCGCCGCGGTGCAGCGCGCGGCACGCCAGCAGCGCCGCCACGCGCCGCGCCAGCACGCGCGTCGGCATTGGGTGCCCCTGTACACGGGATTACAGTTTTCAAATTAAACTTCTTTAGAATCGTTGTGATTTGATACGGGAATGTGACACGAGAAAGAGATAAGCAAAAAATAGAATCCAGAAGATCGTTTTACAATTATTTAGAACGTCACGTGACAGACACACGTTTAAAACACCTCCTTTTTTGAAAGCGGTTAAAAGTTATCATACTCACAACAATATTATATTTCACTGGACAATTCAAGGGCATTCTCAAGGTGCATATATAAGCCGTTCTCAAGACACCATGCCTGTCCGGGAGCCGAACCTGTTCCATCCACCATTGGGGTGCGAGCCTCGTGAATGTGTCTGATGGGAGTTTACTGCAGTATCTGAAAGTATATGGCATATTATTCCCTACGTACTATTTAACGGCAATACGCTTTGACGACACGTTTGGCTCAGTTCGTGGTGGTACTTGCTGTATCAGCGGTCGCGTATTCGAGTCCCGCTGGGGGTATTCATTTGTGTGGTGGGCACGAATGGTAGTACTCCAGTCACGAGTGTTTATATTTATAATATGTATGTATTTAGAATTATTACCCCGCCCCGGGATTTGAACCCAGGACTAGGTACTAGCCAAAGCTTTTTTATTATAACAAAAAATAAAGAATATTCAAAAAACATTTCCTACATAAATCCAAAAAGCAAATTACATAAATGCATGTATCACACATACCTATTAATTAATGCAATTGCTGAATTCAAATCAACACTGGCAACATTTTCATCACACTTCTTATCACTCAACTTGTAATCAAACTTTAGATCATCACATTTCGTTTCAACATCACCAATTTTATCTTGCTCTCTAAAATCTAGAGTTTCGTGACACTCTTTTTCTATATTCATCTTCTTATTCTCTTCTCTAATTTCATTTGTATATTCTTTATATCTTCTATTTACATCTTCCTTCATCATATCCATTTCCAGTTCACCATTTTCCATATTTATGTGTATTTTTGATAGATTCATATTCAATTTGTTAATAACATTGTCTGTATGTTTATTTGTGTCCATTTCTTTATTTATTTCTCTATCATTGTCTTTGGTTCTTACATTGTCATCTTCCATATCATTATCATTAGTTATAATTATATCAGCATTGGCATTATCATTATTAATATCGATTTTAAGTCCTACATTCGATTTATTATCGGTTTCTAATCGATTTGTATTAGAAATCAGTTCGAGAGGTATGTATGGTTTGACAAGGTACGCTATTGAGTCTGCTTGGTTCTCTTCCTCTTGAGGCGGTTCAAATTGTATACCACAACCACATTTTCGTGTTATAATCTATGGAAATATTGAAAAATATTAAAAATTAAAAAATATAGAAAAAAAAATTGTTTCAATAAGTAGTAAATCACATAGAAAAAATCTTAGTTTTTTTTATCTAATCTTATTTATATTTAACGATGATATTACAATACAGTACTAAGTGGGACAAACAGCATGATTCAAAAAATATTTACTTTATCCAGAAATCAAACCTGGGAACTCTCCTGTACCATTTTTACATTTAACAATAATGTAACAATATTCGAATTATTAATATTACAAAATATTATAAATGTGAAAGTTTGTGAGTATGTATCGATGTTTGTTAATCTTTCACGCCAAAACGGCTGAACGGATTTGGATGAAATTTGGCAGAGAGATAGATTATATAGTCTGGAATAACACAAAGGGTACTTTTTATACCGGGAAAATGTACGGTCCCCGTGGGATAGGTTTGTTTACAAATTATAACATGAGGATAAGGTGCATTTGTATGATACATACAAAAATACCGAACCCGGGAACCAAACCCACCTGATCCAACTCCTTATACACAGCCAGGTTGTGCACCAGAGCGTCGCTGTCCGCCGCCCCCGCGAGCAGCGCCACGGCGGCGCGCGGCGCCCGCGCCCGCCCTCGGCACAGCCCGTGGGATCGGTAGCTGGTAGAAATGCCAAATTTTGGTCTAACTGGGATTTTCATTCAAAATGAGACATTTTCAGTAATATTTCAACTTTTTTATATAATAACGAGAAGCACTGTAATTTTTAAGTATATTGTGTAGATAAGAACAATAAAACCAAATAGAAAGTGCTTCTTATAAAACTGTATATAAAAAAAAGTTGAAATATTACTGAAATTGTATGTTTGTCATCTCACAAGTAGTATTCAATGTAGTTTTTTCTCTCTCATAAATATATTATGTTATCAGGCACACAGTCTACTTTCAGAATATTTAAAGAAAAGAACAAATCGTATGACATAATTTCTTTTGTTATTTTGAGGTGGAAATGAGGTCTTATCGATCCTCTTGCTTTATTATGTATCATGGAGAAATTGAATTCGACCAAAAAACTACTAGATACACCATCTCATGCAAAAGTTCTCTTAAAACTGTCACCAATTGTGCTTAGGTAATTGTTCTAATTGATATTATAAATTATAATACTATTTGTTACTCAATATACTACTCGCTAGTAAAAAAAGAAGAAAATACAGCATTTAAATATTTTAAAAAGAAAAAAAATTAAGCACAATATTGAATATCAAACACCATATTTACTGTACACATTTAAAAAAAATGACTTACGAAGGAGGCACATCCCATCGCACAACCAAATTACATCTCGGCAGATCTATCCCTTCTTCTAACACCGACGTTGCTAAAAGCAAATTACACTCGTGCATACGGAATCTGAAAATATAATTAAAAAATATAATTTATATTAATATTATAGACTATATTAATATTATATATGGTCTATGTTCTGTATACAATATGTAATATTGGTTTAAAGAAAACAGTACAGATTTCGCTAAGTTACTATTTATTATATGTATAGATACACTATTATAATTCAAATTTCAAAAGGACTCAAATTCCAAGACCAAAATATCATAACCTCTCATCACCCCATGCCTCCGTAATAATCATGAGCCAAAACAAAATAGTCTACTCCCCCAACTTTTCACTTACCAACACCCCCCCCCCCCCCATCTCCTCTACACCACATAAATCAAATTCAAATTTTATTATTTAGCATTACATTATTACATTTTTTTACTGAGCGTCATGAGTCTACTACCAGTTCAGAAAGAAGCCTAACACCTGAGAAGAACTGGCAAAAGAAACTCATAAATCAAATAGACTCACTTCTTCAAAACCTCCTCCTGCTTTTTCCCCTCTCTCTGGCTATCCTTGTCCCTACCATCCTCTGAGGCGCAGTACTGTGCGCACAAGTGGGATAAGGACGGACGACTTCTGGACATATCCTGTGATTAAAAAAAATTAAATCAAAATGGCGCAAAAATTTGAAGGTAGATCATTATGTGTAAACTTCATTTGTTTTTGTATAAAAGAGAAATTATTGTTTATATATATATTTGTTTCGTGTATCTCGGAAACGGTTCAAACAATTTGGATCAAATTTTGTATTTAGATAAGGTTTTGCTTTTAAGTTAAAAAAAACGCAATTTTAAACAAAATAACAGCTTTTTACTAAATGCATATGAAATGATATAATTATATGATACTTGTAAGAAGAAAACAATTTTTAAAATTTTTGTCTGTTTGTTCTGGAAATCTCCAAAACGGCTGGACCGATTTTGACGAGACTTTGACTGGCAGATAGCTGATATTATAGGGAGTAACTTAGACTACTTTTATTTTAGAAAAAGAATTAAAGTTTTAAAGAACAAAAGTATTACCGCGTAACTATTCATAAATAAATAACATATATTTTTCACTCACCACAATCATCATAAACAATATCTTCGCCATCAGAGCTTCACGTAAAAATACAATACCGCATAGAGCATCCGAATTTTGCTGCATTTGCTGCATTTTCGCAACATTACTCCTCTGCACCCTCCTACCTCTAGATCTGTGACCGCGTTTACCAAAACCCACTTTCACATCTGTCCCTTTATCATTAACACAAACACTATCACTTTTGTTACTACCATTTTTGCTATCACTTTTGCCGCTATCAACAATAACTTCGTAATCTTCAATATCCTTCAAATTAGCCTCGTACGTATTCACTCTATCTTCAATTTTATTTCCCAACGTCACAAAATCACATTTCTCCAATTCATTCAATAATTCCATTGTTTTTGATTTTTTCATTTCACTTTCATTTTTACTATCAATTTCATTTCTTTCTTTCAATTCACTATCAGCATCATTGTTATCACATACTTCTGTTGTATCAATATTTTTCTTCTTGTCGATATCATCCGAGGTGCTATCAACAATCGTTTCATCATTTTTCGTGATATCTTTCTTTTCATCATTTTTCGTGATATCTTTTTTTTCATCATTTTTCGTGTTACTATCAGTTGTATTAATATTATCTTTGGCATTTATGTTACAATCGGGCGAATTTTTGACGTCTTTTTGATTATCAGGTTGAAATTGTTCTAAAATCTCCGCCAATCTTAGTACTTTTGGTGTTGAAAACATTGTAATCTTCTCCCAATCAGATTCATATTTTGAAAATACAAGATCCGCGTAACACCTTATCTTGACGAACACGGACGTACATAGGCATAGTAGCAAAAAATGTCTCTCGTAAGGCACTTTTATTTTTAATTTTTCTAATTTAGTTAGCAGAGAGAACGCGGCTTTGTCCGCAGCGTACGGACCTAGAAAAACAAATATTTTCTATAATCATCGTTTTAATATTAATTATTAAATTATATTATTATATTTACAATTTTAAATTAAACCCCAGCTTTCGGATATCGCCGCCGTTTTGTTTTGCTTTTCGTTACTTAAGTTTCAAATACTTTACAGCAAACGTAGTAACGGGAGAGACTAAAATAAATGTTTAGTGTTCTCTAAATTATATATAGAATTATAAGAACAGTATAGTAAAATCAGAAAAGATAGTTTTATTTAAAAGTTATAAACACATTGAAAATACCAAACCCGGGGTTCGAAGTCGTCTCTATATCCAAAGCAACCTTTTAATGTACATCTAATATAGAGACACCCCTAATAATAAACAACCATCTTTACCTAATTGTTCCAGTACATATAAAAACTCCATAAAGATCTGCTTAGGATCAACAGTCGGGTCGGGTATCTTCATAAACTCTTCATATAAATCCTCACCGTATATCTCTGTTGGATCATATCTAAAACAAAAAATTTATATATATATATATATATATATATATAAAAAATACGCTCTTGACTAACTGTATTGTACAGGAATCGCCAACATTAATAAAAGGAGCCCAAACTGAAAGATGTCTCTATTAGCCATTGAAGAGTTCCACTGTCAGCTCCTGACTGAACATCGACCTTTGAAACTTCTAAAATTTTTACCATATCACCGCAATAAAATATAATTTTATTTAAAATGTCAAATATTCGCGTAAATCTAAGAAAGTATTATCTATACATATAATAAAATTGTAACTAAGCCGAACTGACCAATAAATATTTTTTGGAAAATGTTATTTAAATAGACATTATTATCAATACAGTGGCTGAATCTATAGTTTTAAGAATTTTGGTCCGTCTGTTACCGCATCACGGAAAACCAGTAGAGGGATTTTCATGAAATTTGGTATGATGGTAGCTGGTTATCCGGGTCAACATATAGGATATTTTTTATTGCGGGAAAATATCTCATTTCTGAGAGAAAATACAAAAACTGAGAACATCATCATCATCAGGTACATATGATTAGGCATTAACACATACACATACATTTTCATGTGGTTTTTTAATAGATAAGAGTAATTCAAGAGGAAGGTTTTAGTATATAATTTGTTAAGTTTAATATTATGATTATTGTTGGAAGTGTCGGAAAAAAATAAGCCATCTGGAAGCTTTGCCTAAACCCTTTGACATATAACAAAATAATGTATGGTGGAATTGTGTATCTTATATAGGTCTACAGACAGTCCGCGATGGCAAATATCTATCTCTTAAGGATAACATACTATATCCATTTTAATTTAAATCGTACCTAGACACGTACCGTAGAAGTGAGGGTGAGTAACTAGTATAAAGGAATAATAACTCACCTGTGCTCGTTTATGAAATCCAAAGCATCGTACACAGTGTCCTTCATATATCTCTCCAACTCCACATAGATATCCGGTAGGTCTTCACTTGAGACCTGAGGACTGTATTCTATTATTACCTCCTTAGGTTTCACCGCTGTTGCTGACAATCTGCAAATAAGCACCAATTCAAAACTTGATCATTTTACAATTGGTCAAGTGCGAGTTGTATCTTGGTATTTTAAATTATTATATATTACTAGCGACTCACCCTCGCTTCGCTTCGGGTTCGTCCATAGACAAAAACAAATCTATCCCACTATTATAGCCTTCCTCAATTAACGGGCTATCTGATGTAAAAAGATTTTTTTTAATTGGATTAGTAATACCTAAGACTAGTGCGTTTAATGAAACTAACAAACTCTACCTCTTAATATTATAATATTAGTATGATGATAACGTAAAAATGGATGTTATTATACATTTTTTGTAAATGAAGCTTTATATTTATTCAGTTTTTAAAAATTCTAAGCTTTGTACATTCAAAGGCGACTCTCTCCTAGCCATTAATAAAATGTCGATCTGATTTTTTTTAAACGTTTAGCATGCATGTTTATTTTAAAAAAAAATGCTTACCGTTTCCCTCCATCAATATCTTCCGCCAAATCTATTTCGCAACACAAAGCCTTTTCAAATTCCTCAATCTTCCACTCTAATTTTTCATACATATCGAAATCATCCATATTGTTGTAAACACCAAAATCACTTTTCACAAATGTATCTTTCATTTCATAATTTTTCTTTTTACTTCCGGAATCTTTTATTTCATTTTCCCTTTCACAACTTCCATCATCCTTATTTGTTGTTACTTTAAATTTTTCATTGCTTTCCATTTTAGTTTCTTCATTTTCATATCTTTCATTATCTTTTTCTGTTATACAATCATTAATTTCTTTTTTATCTATACCATCCATAGCCTCTTCTTGTGTGTCTGTCTGTTCGTCTTTAGGGGCTGTGAATAGTGGGTATGTAAGCGCTAAAATCCTTGGTCGCTTATTTTCTTCATGTTGTTTATACAGATTCATTATCTGAAATTATATTTTTCCAATTATTAGAACAAAAATGTTTTCTTTGTTGTTTTGTCATTATACATATATTTATTTGTCATTATACATATATTTTTATTATTGTAAGCAAATATTATTTGCAAGAGTAACTGTTAAGTTTATTCTGAGCCGGTGGTAGATTCCTCACTGACTTACTTACTGACATTTAATTTAAATTTTAATAATATAAAAAGTGACACTTTAAAAGTGTTTGTAAAAGTGTATTTAAATAAAATATTATTTGTTTTAATTTGAGTATAAATAAAAAAAGTTAAATGTTTAGTCTATTATATTAATTGGTCAAGTGCGAGTCAAACATACATTTAAAAAGGTTTTAAACATTGTAGATACATTTTCCTTTATTCATATTTATAATATTTTTTAAAAACTATGTATTAATCTCCAACATTGCAATTTTTTAATTTTAAAAATAAAACCAACACAGATTATACTTACATATTGTAAATTCTCATCTTTAAATATTAAATGACAGCTGTCTATTATTAGTACATTTACATTTGGAATAGCCAAAATTTTTTCATGTAAAATCATTTTGAACACTTCTGATGTACACACTAGTACCTACAATATATTAAATTTATTAATACAATCAAATTGATATTATGAACTAGCGATTCACCCTCGCTTCGCTTGGGTTCATCCCTAGATACGTTTTAACGGTTAGTATAGATTTCTCAAGAGATTTTTATTTAGATTTTGGTTATTTTCCGGCAGTAAAAAGTAAGAGTAAAAACTATGTTGACCCAGGTAACCAGCTATCATCATAACAAATTTCATCAAAATCTATCCAGTAGTTTTCTCCTGATACATCCCATGATACCTATCATCCTATCTACATGATAGTCCCCGACAGACAGAAAGATAGACAAAAATTCTAAAAACTATAGATTAGGCCTGTGTATCGATAATAATGATTATTTCAATAAGATTTACAACAAAACATTTAATGTACAGATTCGACTCAGTTAGAATTTTAATATAATAAAATAAAAACTTTTTAACAAAAAATAAAAACCGACTTCAAACAAAAGCACTAAAAAGTAAAAAATAACTGATTGGTAGTTTTCATTTACTATACATACCTAATCAAATATTTTCGAAGTCGGTGTGCTTTGCTTTGTATGAGCTGGCACCGATTTCGAAAATATTTGATTAGGTATGTATTTAATAGGTAGGCTTTATTAAACTTAGCCAAAGCACACCGACTTCGAAAATATTTGATTAGGTATGTATAGTAAATGAAAACTACCAATCAGTTATTTTTTACTTTTTAGTGCTTTTGTTTGAAGTCGGTTTTTATTTTTTGTTAAAAAGTTTTTATTTTTCCCTTTTTAGTGTAGACAGTAGTAGCAAAGTAAGAATTCTAACGTGTTAGGCTTGTCAAATCAAACAAAACAAGCCCAAACTCAAGTATCTACTATTAGCCGTTGAAGAGTTCCACCTATCCACCTTCTGGCCTTATCATCAGATCAGGTCAACAATATCGAACTACTGTACTATCAACGGAAATAGAAACACTTGCAAAGTTTCAAGTCAATATGACAATTAGAAGTAGGTTAAATTCATTATTAGCTATTTTTCCACCCTTAGGGGTGGTATTTTTTTTTGAAATTTAAATGGGACCAATCTGGAAGTATACACTTTCAAACGACACAAAAATTGTCCAAATCGGTTAATAAATGACGGAGTTCTGAGGTAACAAACATAAAAAAAAAAAAAAAAAAACAAAAAAAAAATACAGTCGAATTGAGAACCTCCTCCTTTTTGAAGTCGGTTGATTAGTAGTTAGCTACATAATTATTATATCAACTAATACAGTTGTATTAATTTAATTACCTAGCAAAGTATTAAGTACATTATGCACAATTATTACCAGTCTAATAAGATCAATAGATCATTAAAACATAATATGAGAATCCATGCTAATATTATAAAAAGGAAAGTTTGTGAGGATGGATGGATGGTTGGATGTTTATATGTTACTCCTTGGGATCTGGATGAAATTTGGCACAGAGATAGATTATAGTCTTTTATCCCGAAAAATGTATGGTTCCCGTGGGATAGATTTGTTTTTGTCTAGTAATGAACCTGAAACGAAGGAAAACCGAACCTAGTAAACAATAAATAAATTAACATACCTCCTTATATTCTAACTCATTTTTCCAATCGCTCACATCACTATACAATTTAGCTTTAAAAACAGCTAAATCAGTTAAAATTGTTAGTTCATGGGCAACACATTCAATCCGAGACAATCTTGTTATGAATATTGAACGCTGACGACCTGATGATAATAGGCTGGAAAAAAGTGAAATTATATTACAATTACTATATTTTTTTTTTATTTCATAATAATTATTATTTTTATTATGAATCATTAATTGTTTAAAATATCATTATTTATATTGTATGTGACATTTTATTTGGAAATTTATAATTATAATTATTATTTTTTTCATTTAAATAATTTAAGTTTATAGTTTAATCCACATAATCACTTAAAACCTTAATTAATAATATAATTATCATGCTGTATTTATCTGTAATTAAAAGTGCAATTAACATGTTAAGTGTAGTGCCAAGATTATATGTGTTAACCATTGTAACTTTTGTTGGTAATTCAATAAATAAATAAATGCCCGATCCCCGCTCATATTGAAGGGATGCCCGTGCCCAACAATGGGATGTTAAAAAGGACTGAATACACTATCAAAACATATTATTAAATATTTGAACAAATATTGTAATCATATATATAAGTTAAAATTACTAAAATGTTTGTTTGAGACATATCAATGTTTAGCAAAGGTTATAAAGCTTTATCCTTCATCATAAATTTCATTAAAAACCATTAAGATTTTCACTCATCTTTATTTTTCACCCTTATTTTTTATTAGGCTATACAATTTGTTGGAAAATATGAGTCTTAAATCCAAGAGCATAAAATCTTCAATCCAATTCAATTTTCTTGTTTCAAAGTGTGTCAGTTGAGAACTTACTTCTTACTCTAATGTCTCATAGAATGGAGAAGAAATTAAGGAACTTAAAGTCTTATAATAAAAAGCAGTTTCATATTTCAACATACCCTCTTATCTTATATGCATGTTCAATGAGCACACTGGTCGATATAAAGGCAGTGTGCTCTGTCACCAAGATATTCTTAGAACCCGCATAAGCGGCTAAGCGAGCTCCGCCTTCAGCTGCCGTGAAACGTGTACACGAAGACTCCATGGCTATATTTAGTAAATAAAGAGTTTATATGGTTAAGTTAGTTTGTATGAAAATAAATTTCAGTTTAAATCAATTTTAAAGAAACAATAGGTACCTAGTGTTGATAGCATAAATCATATCTTAAAAGTATTTGGAATAACATTTACACTAATATTATAAAGAGGTAGTTTGTAAGTTTGTAATAAATGAAATAAAAATCTGCTGAACTGATTTAGATGAAATTTTGTATGAAGATAGTTTGAGACCCTGGAAAGGATATAGGAAAGGTTTTATTCTGAAAACAATCCCTTAAGGGTATGCAAAGGTGGATAAAAGATTGTATATAGAATCAAAATCATTTCTCAAGCAAGGGATATAAAACTCATCAACCCTTTGTATATATATATACATATACATTCTAATATATAGTCTATCTATTCCATACTAGCTGCTAAAAGGTACATAGGGACGAAGCCGAGCGAAGCGAGGGTGAGTCGCTAGCATAACTTATTATGAAATATGTAGTAAATAATGTTTGTGATGTTTTACAATAAACGAAGGTCTTATTAGATTCTTTATAGTTTTTGTTATAATTTTCATCCAAAACAATCTCACCTGAATATACACTTAAATTAAAGCCACTTTTGCAGTTAAAAACACGTAAACCACATTATTTAAGCACGACTTATTAACATAATTTAAATATCATACATGTAAATAAAAATCGACTAATATGGAAGTTGTTATAAAATTTATTGTATAATATAGAAATGTTTTATATTAAAATAATTCTTTTTAATAATTTCAAATTTGTGATTTATAATATTCGAGAAAAACAGCAAATACATTTACGAAACAAGAATTCGACAGTTCGCTGACATTTATGCGTTTCGTTTTTGCACATAAAATTATTAAGTCAATATCGGTCACAGACATATTTTTATAATAATTTTTAATTATATTAATAGTTAAATATTTTTTTCTTATATTTGTATATAAATAGTTGTCATAAATTTTATGTTTATTCTAATGTTCATTTAAAAATGCGGTTGCGGTAAAAATGTTTGGTTAATCTCATTTTAAAATATTTTTAACTTTTTGCAAGAATTACGTTACATAGTTTATTAAATAATTTAAGAATACTAACTACACATAATATAAGCAATAAGAAAATTATATAATGTTAAAAACAGTTTATTACCTTATTATAATTATCCAGTACTATTTCAAAGACGGTGCTTCCCCTATTGATATTTGATAGAAGTTCCACTACAAAGAAATTATATTATAATAATTGTTTTTAAGCATAATGAAGTGAAAACAATTAATTAATATCTCATTCAATAATAATCGATAACTCATATTTTCGTAAAATTATTGTCTACTCTGATATTATATTTAATTCATCTATATTTGATGAATTTGTTTAAAATTATTATATTAAGAAAGTAAATATTTTTCGTTAGTAACACACCTCGAATATTGAACAAATTAATAACGTACTCTCTATATGGCAAATCTAATACAAAGTAAAATAGTATAAAATAAAATAGTGTCTTTTTTATTTTAGGAGCCTTGAGAAAATGCCTTGAGGAATGCATCGGCGATGTACGTCTTTGAATTGCATGCAAATGATTACTGTGGTACTCACTCACTAATAAAAACCAGAACCAGTAAGTGTTAAAGATGTTATTTTAATTTCAAGCAATTATATATATAATAATTCGATTTTTTGATCTCGATTAAATTAATCAATTTAACGTCTCGAATTAAAAAAAATAATATGTCATGTTTTAACTTACACTTGCCTTGCCCCTTCACTTAAAATCAAAAAGTTTTTCATCATGTTTAAAACATGGATGACAAATAGTTTAAAAGACAAAACTTCAAATTTTCAAAGTTGATTATTTTCTCTCCTCTAATATACCTTTTATAATTAATATTATTTACATAAATTATCAATACTGATTTGTGAAGATTTAAGTAAGTAATTCTTTATTTAAATTGGACTGAATGTACTGTATTAAAATATTGCAGTCATATTTGCATGAGAGGTAAATATTAATTATAATATATGTCTATCTTTATTATTAACTAGCCACTCACCCTCTTTCCGCTCGGCTTCGTCCCTACGTTTTAACGGTTAGTATACATTCCCCAGAGATGAGATATTTTCCTGTAATAAAATGTATCCTAAATGTTGACCTGGACCTATCATCATACTAAATTTTATCAAAATCTGTCTGTGTTGTTCCCAGACAGGCAGACAGACGAAAAAAAATTCTAAAAACTATAGATTCAACCTCTGTATCGATAATAATGACTATTTCAATAAGATTTTCCAAAAAATATTTAATGTAAAGATTGGACTCAGATTTTTATTATAATATGTATAGATATAATGAAATACATAATGTTATATTTATTAATTTTTTAAGGCTTTATAAAATTTTAAGGCTATTGAAGCTAAATTAAAATTAAATATAAATATTGGCTATATCACTATAAATGTTGGAACTTTTAACATTAGTTAGTTATATAAACAATTAGCAATACACAATTTAGATAAAAATTATGTTGTGATATTGTTGGTTTCTGTTGCTTATTTTTTTAATTTCCCTGAGACATATATGTATTGTATTCAGCTCTTCCCACTGATGGACATGGGCTTCCTTTCAATATAAAGGAGGATTGGGCCATAGACCACCATACTGACTAATTGAAGGTTAGTGGACTGCACATCTTTTGAAAACTAGTTAGGTTTTCTCAGACATGTAGGTTTTCTCACAATGTTATCCTTCACCGTATGACAAGTGGTGGTTATCATGTTGAAAAGGATTTGCACATGAAAATATAAGAGGCATGAGCCTTGGGATGTGAACCTGCTTCACTTGGTTTCCCTGGCAAGTGCATTACTACTAGGCTACCACTGTGTATGCAATTTAGGGCTATTGTAAATCAAGTTTTAATGATACTTACTGTTATTGATTTAGTCATAACTTATCCACATATACAAAAAATGCAACACAAAAAATTTGAAAACCATCATCATAAAAGCCTTTTCATTGAGTATTTCAATGAGCCTAAACACAATATCTCTGCAGTAATTTAGGGAATAGTTACTTTAATGACATTGCAACGATATGGTAACCTTGACCTGATGCTGCAGCATCACCTGGAATCTGCAAGATACTTAAACCCTCACTAAAATACTGCAGAGGTATTGTGTTAAGGCTCATTGAAATGACCTCAATAAATAGGTTATTGGGTTGGGGTTTTTGAAAGTTTCAGAGTAATACTATCTTGAAGTATATCATGGCTTTAAACCATATTATCATAGTTAATTATCCCATCATCATAAGATTATGGAACAATCTTTCTTACATTTATAATATTTATCTTACTGGGTATTCACCTAAACTTTCTCTTTTATAATCTGTTTCACATGTATATAACAAATAATTTTATTTGAGTGCTTCGTCACACCTAACAATACCACTAAACGTCTTATTGAGGTTGCCACTCTTAGAGTTGTGACCAAATTCTGTAATTATTACATATTATATAATGGTGATGTTTGAAGCTAATGTATTTTTATTATTATCTATTATTTGCAGATACAAGAGAAAAAGCCAGTGATGAGTGGTGTAGATGAAGTATCATCCGCTTTTAAGCATATCAATTTGTATGAAATTTTGGAGCCAGAAAGAGTTCACAACGTTCAAACTGCAAAATTGATTGATATAAACGATGATAAACTCGACTCTAATCCGGATTTAATAGGATCTTTCGTCGATAATGTGACAAAAAAAGAATTTGACATATTGGATGTATTCGAAAATATATATGTAACTCCACAACACCTTCAACGTCAAAATAAAAATGATTTGGATTTTAATATGTTCATTAAAGAATCAAAAGGTGAATTAGATGTCGCATCTCATGTCGAAAGTACAAACAGACAAACAGACCGACAACAGGTAGAATCAAATAAAGTTCGTAGCTTGGATGAGATATTTGATAACATTGTTTCTACAAGATCTTTTCCAAAATTAAACCGCTTGAATGAAGCGGGAATTGATAATCCTAAACAAGTAAATGAAGATTTAATTGATGAATTCCTGCAATCCAAACCGACTATAAAGCTTGAAACAATAAAAACACCTATCCCAAGTACATCAGTACAGGAAGATGTACAAAAAACTGAGGGTACAGTCAAAAATCATGTATTTGAAACTTTTAAATTACAAAATACATCTCAAAATGTCCAACCAGCTGTAGCTGGAAAAAGCATGGTTATTAACGATTTGCCTGTTCTAGCTGTTGCAAAGAAAATAAATAACAAAAATTTAACTCCACCGAAACCCAGATTAGAAGAGAATAGACTTTTACTCAAAATCTATCAAAATGAGATAAAAACTGCATTAATCGATGAAAACAAAATAATTGCCTACAAACAAAACCCGCCAATACCCATGTTACAAACGGTTAAAGTTGATAAAAAAGCTTTCGCAAAACGTATCGTAAAAGGTGATAGTGAGAAAGCAAGTTTCACTAAAGGTCCGGATCTCTATGAGAAATCTCTTGTGCTACCACAGATTATGCATCGTTTGAGATTAAGGAAAGAGATTATAGATGCAAAAACAAATGTTCGAAGAAAATTGATCTTAGATTGTCAGAGTAATGCTAATTCTGCGAGCTTCAACCGTATGCCCGCGTTAGCGCCCGAAACGTTACTAGAAGACTGTAATAAAAAAAGACTCGAAGCTATTAAAAAGAGAAAGGCGTTTGATGAGTTTATTAAAGGAAAAATCTAATTTATTTTGGACTGTGGCTATAGAGGGTAAATTCTAAATTGGCAATGAGAATTAGATATCAACTAAGAATTTTTTTTTTGGAAATTAGATCCACGGGTTGAGAATTTCTATGAAATTCCGTTATCTTTAAAGATAATGACCGAAGTTGGTAACAATCTTTCTAAAATGTAATGAAAAATAGGGAATGATGTGAACAGTACTGTAAATAATATATGCGTCAGAATCGCGGGGAAAATAATAGTAAATATTAACATTCAAAATGTTGGAAACCAAAAATTAAAATAATCTGCGAAAAAATATGAGAAGATAGTATTAAATTACATTTTGATATTAATTTCAACTAGATAATCTACAAGGCACACTCGTTCCTGACAAATAGAGTCTGAGGGTTGACAAACAGACAGACAGATGAACAACAAAGTGATCCTACAAGGGTTCCTTTATTCCTTTTGAGGTATGGAACCTTAAAAAAAGAAAAAAGACCCTCTTTATAAAATCCATATGAGTTTAAATTTTTCTTCATTATCGCAGTAAATGAACAACGCGAATAAACTAGGCACAACATTGATAGGGTTTCTTTTTAAATAAAACGATCTTTTATGTTTATATACTGTCTGTAAAAACTATAATATAATAACCTTTGAGACGTCTACAACCTTAGTCTCTCCCGCGACCATGTTTGCTATAAAACATTTAAAACGTCGGGAATCAAAAATCAAAATAAATCCACGAAGTGAGAGATATAGACTAGATATAATCCCGGTACAAATAGTCCCGTGGGATTGAAATCCTTTAATTTTAATTAAAAACGCATTCTACTTCACAAGTCGAAATGCTATTATAAATGCTAGTATATATTAATGTATGTATGTATGTTTGTTACTCCTTAACGCTGAAACGGTTGCTAGGAGGAGGACTCGGAACCTATTGAAATAACACGGTTAATTTCGGTACGTAATGGTTAATTCATCACTCGTTCATTAACCGGTTAATAAAAACGAACGGTTTAGTAAACCGAAATAATAACAGTTAACGGCTATTCTTAGAGAAAGGTTAGAATCATTTATTAATATCGAAATATACCGGTTAATTCATTGATAAGTAAGAAACGTACATGTATCTTATATCAAGCAACTCATCATTACCTAAGATACGCCAAATGTAATCAAGAACTCATTTAACCAGTTAATTTGGTTCATGGAACCTAAATTCGTCAATAACCGTTTAGGGGTTTTAACCGGTTAAAGAACGTAACCGAAACCTTAAATCTAAACCCCTTTCGGTTTGGGGTTAAAGAAAAACTAGTTTAAAAATTAAACGGGACGCATCCGAGCGTAGTGAGGGTATATCACTAGTAATAGACAGGATGGAATCCGAGAGATTTTTCAGAGATGAGATATTTTCCCGCAGTAAAAAGTATCCTATATGTTGACCCGGATAACCAGCTATCATCATACCAAATTTCATCAAAATCCGTCCAGTGGTTTTCTCGTGATGGGTTCCCAGACAGACAGACAAAAATTGTAAAAACTATAGATTCGGACTCTGTATCGTTAATAATGATTATTTCAATAAGATTTTCCAAAAATATTTAATATACAGATTCGAGTCTGTTAGAATTTTATTATATGTACTTATAGATAATGTACTAATCTAGTTTTGTATTAAAAAAACGTATATAAGTGTATCTATATCAAAAAATGTATTTTAATTAAGCAAATTGTGATATATTTTATTAAATTTGTATTTTTTCATATATATTTTGATTATTTTTTAGCTCGAGCTCTCTTCTAAAGAACTACTTCTTTTATGATGGGATCGGTGTATTTTTCTCATTAATAATGGTGAAATCACCAAATGGATTTTGGTAATGTTTTCGCTTTTAATTACAAGCTTATATTTTTTGGTTTCAACATTTTTGAATCCTTTTATCAAGTACTTGCTGACATGTGATAAAGCAGATATATAAATATGTTGGGACATTAACCACACAGCACCATCTTGTTCCAATGGTAAGCTACGAGGTTTAAAATAAAGTCCACCCGATCGATTCCAGCCACGGTGGTCAATCTCATTGAGACTAGCCAACTGCGCAGGAGATTATAGTGCACAAGTGTACGAGGCACGGGAGTGAACCATCGTCAACTTCCCAACTCCGGGCTGTTACTGAGGCTTTCTATACAGAAAGACTCGGTAACTAAACTTGGCCCGACCCGGAACCCGAACCCAGGACCTCCGGATTTGCAGCCGTACATGCTAGCCATTACACCACCGATGATAATATAATATATGTATAGTATGTATAATATATATGATAATATAATAATACCATACCTATTTATATAGTATCTTAAAACGAATGTAACAACTTCTTTCTTGACAAGTGCGAGTCGGACACCCACCGAGGGTTCCGTAAAAATTTGTAGGAAATCTGTTTACTATATTTTTCAACTATTTTATTTTTTGGAATTTTTCCTTTATCTGTGCTGTAAGATCTTGCTTTTTGTTAAATTTCGTGATTCTAGGTCAACGGGAACTATCATATAGGTTTTCGACTCAAAACCTATAGGGTACTTCCGGTTGACCTAGAATTGTCCATTTTGGTTAAAAGAAAATTCCGAAAAATAAAAAATGTTGAAAATTAAGGGAAATTTTGGTACTTACAAGTTTTCACGAAAATCTACATTTGCCCATATCTTTTTATCGTGTTGACTCAGCACCTTATAGTTATACACCTAATAGGGACTATAGACCTCAGTATCTAGGTATAAATTTCAACTTGCTAGGTCCACCCGTTTCTGAGAAAATCAGTGGTGACACACGGACAGACAGACAGACGGACAAGCGAGTGAGTCTTATAAGGGTTCCCTTTTTACCTTGTGAGGTACGGAACCCTGAAAGTTTTTTAATAGAAAACGGATTTATTAAAGATTTTTGAAATCTAAGGTATAATATCTGGAATAGAGAAGGAGCACAAATCGAGCGTTACTTTAAAAGAAAAGGCGATATTTTTTCAAAACATCATCAGACATGGAAAATTTAAGACATATGTGCGTGTGTGCTAGCTAATTTGTGTGGGCCAATGACCCCATTATGCATATTTTGACCCCATTCATAAAGAGTCCTAAAGCTCCCACATATTATTACATACTTTTTAAAACAATGGTAAAACTATCATTTTTAAGTAAAAATCTGCCAATAAAGCACTTTCGCAAAGCGATTCTCAACGGATTAGAATTAAAACGTAGAAATATTAAAAATGAAAATGGAAACTGCATTAGAAAAAACGTGTCTGATTTTCTAAAGTAAGACGTACAAAAGAGTACCGTTTCACTTACACCATAATGTTTTAGATCAAATTCTTACTCTGAATTCCGAAACGAGCTTCATTATAAATACTTTTTCACAACAGGATATCGAATATAATACTAACAACATGCTATTACGATGTAAACTTATAAGCATATGACAAATGTAGATTTTATGATGTCCATAGACACGTAGATATGATGGGGATTCCCCGAATTAAAAATGCGTTCAATGGCTAATTTGTTTATCATATTTTAAGTAACAGGTCTACCTTCATAAATCCGTAAGGGTGTACATGCGTGAGTATGTTTGTTGTTTTTTTCACGTCGAAATAGACGAATTTGGATTCTCCTCCCTGCCCATTTCCTAAGTATTTGGGGTCAGCGCAGTACAGTAGACGAATTTGGATTGTATGTTGTATATATATAGACTATGACCTCGAGGTATAGTCATAGACATATATAGTGGTAAAATTATGTGCCAATAGGGAATGCTGCGTATATAATATAATAAATATGTAAATGAAAATATCATCATCATCATCATAATAAATATAAAAGGCACCTAATTTATGTATATAATAATTTACTTAGATCAAAAAAAGAATCTTTCTACACAATATAATTATTTAAATTTTTACACTCTAAGATTGCTTCCATAACATATTACATGAAATATCTTTATTTTTACCCGACTGCGGCGAAACCCGTAGGAGGTATTTGTGTTTAACTTGTATGTATTTAAGTACCTACATATGTGTTTGTGGGTGGGTCCGTCTGTAAAAAATAACCTTTGAGATGTCGACAGTCGAACACTTCAGTATCTTCCGTTATCTGTAAGCATGTTTGCTGCGAAGTAATCAGAGATCCAACAAAAAATCTAAATTAAACTGCGATAAAAATCCGAAAAAAAAACAGTAAGTATTAAGTAGTATTTATGTAACCAACTGCGTAGGAATTATTATAAGCCAAGTGTACGCGCAGACACACTATTCCTGTCCTTTTTCTATTTCGGTGGGAAGATAATTTATACATAAAATGAAATTGTAACTAAGCCGAATCTGTACATTAAATATTTTTTGGAAAATCTTATTGAAATAGACATTATTATCGATACAGAGGCCGAATCTACAGTTTTTAGAATTTTTGTCTGTCTGTCTGTTACCGCATCACGAGAAAACCACTGGACAGATTTTGATGAAATTTGGTATGATGATAGCTGGTTATCCGGGTCAACATATAGGATACTTTTTACCGCGGGAAAATGTCTTATTTCTGAGAAAAAATACAAAAACTGCAATGGAAGAGTATACTTATATGTAAAACCTAAGAATTTGGTTTTTGGTCATCAGAACGCGGGCGGAGCCGCGGGCAATGCTAGTATATAATATTATTAAATGATTTATAGCCCGAGAGGTGACCGTAGATGTATTTTCTAAAGGCTGATTTTTTAATAATATTTCGACGACACGTATGGCTTAGTTTGTTGTGCGGTCGCAGGTTCGAGACTCACTGGCCGGGCATTCATTTGTGTAATGAGCATGAATGTTAATATTTCAGTCATGAGTGTTTATATTTTTAAATAACATGTATGTATTTAAAATTATATAATTCTAGCATTGCTCGCGGCTCCGCCCGCGTTCAGATGACCAAAAACCGAATTCTTAGGTTTTACATATACTCTTATTTTGTAGTTTTTGTATTTTTCTCAGAAATGCGACATTTTCCTGCGGTAAAAAGTATCCTATATGTTGACCCGGATAACCAGCTATCATCATACCAAATTTCATCAAAATCCCTCCAGTGGTTTTTCTGTGATGCGGTAACAGACAGACAGACAAAAATTCTAAAAACCATAGATTCGGCCTCTGTATCCATAATAATGTTTATTTCAATAAGATTTTCCAAAAAATATTTAATGTACAGATTCGACTTAGTTACAATTTTATTATATGTATAGATGTGTAGTGTATTAAATATCTGGTATCCATAACACAGTCCTCGTAGCTTACCATGGAACTAGATGGTGCTGTGTGTTACTGTCCCAGCATAATAAATATATTTTTTATTTATTATTTATATTACGTTGGTTATACATTATAGTATGTTGGTGGAGTAGAGAATAGCCTGCCGTGAGTCACCTGGTTTCATTAGCGGTTGGCGCGGGCGCGACTTTAATTGATTGATTTGATGATTTGCCTTGTCGTTCTATAATACGGTGCGCAAAATAAAAACAATAAAATATATAATATCAAAGTTAAATAATTCAATTAATGAATTCACATACTTATATTAATATTAGTATCAGAACTTTCAGAACTTCCATGAAGTTGGGGGTGAAATACCTTTACAATGGAAAAGATCGTTTATAACTCCCATATTTAAAAGTGGTAATAAACATGACATTTCAAATTACCGTCCTATTTCAAAATTAAGCTCAATTCCTAAATTATTTAAGAAAATTATTTACGATACGCTCTCTCAAATAGTTAGACCAATTATAATCCCCGAACAGCATGGTTTTGTAGGTCGTAAGTCTACAGAAAGTAATCTTTGCGAGTTTCTTGACCATCTCTATATCGCTATGGATAATGGACTGCAGGTAGATGCAGTGTACACCGATTATACAAAAGTCTTCGATAAAATTTCACATGGTATTCTAATACACAAACTAGAACAAATCGGTGTACATGGTGATTTACTTCGATGGATATCCTCTTATCTTAGAAATCGCAGTCAGGCGGTTGCAATAAAAGGATACTGTTCATCATTCCTCCCTGTTTCTTCAGGTGTTCCTCAGGGTTCGCATCTTGGTCCGTTGCTGTTTATATTATTTATAAATGATGTCATATCCTGCTTCCATAATTCCAAAGTTCTCCTTTTCGCAGATGATATGAAAATTTTTAGGTCTATTAAAACTTTAGAGGACTGCAATCTACTTCAAGAAGATCTGTGTAGGTTAAGTTCATATTTTCAAGCAAATGATCTTTACCTGAACATCAGGAAATGTAACGTCATCTCATTTACTAGAAAAAAATCCCATCCTCTTTAATTATAAGCTTAATGACAATTTACTTGTAAGAGTAAATTAATTGCGTGATCTTGGTGTTCAGTTGGATAGTAAGCTGGTACTGGGGTCACATATTAGTATTATAACTCAAAGAGCTTACAAAATGCTAGGTTTTGTTATGCGTATATCGAAAGATTTTAAACATGTTCTTCATGTTGGAATCCTCAATACAATGTTTTTATTAAAATGATTGAAGCAATTAATAAAAAATTTCTGCGTCACTTAAAACATTATAATTCATCTGTAGATTCCATTATTAAAAACTAAAACAGTAATACCCTCGAAAAACGCCGTGATATAAGAGATCAAATGTTGTTGTATAAATTACTACATAATATAATCGACTCTCCCCTACTTTTAAGCAAAGTGAATCTTGCGTGTCACAAATTAGGTGCACGAAATAAACCTCTTTTCGCAATACGTAAGGCTAAAACGAAGTATGCTTCAAATAATTTTGTATCTCGTGCATGTAACAAGTTTAATTTAAAATATTGTAAATTAGATATCTTTCATCTTTAATATAATAGTTTTAAAAAAAAATTGTAAAACTTAATTTATAATAGGTAGTTTTGCTGTAGGTTGTATGTATATTGTTACTTTTAACTTTTAACTGCATAATTACTTGATGTTTTATTAAGTGGTAACATTTAGTTTTTTTAAATTCAAATTTTTTATATAATATGTATCATCTTAACGTGGTGGTAAGCTTTTGTTTATGTGTTGTGAATCTGTGGAAACTTGGTTGGTTTTTAGCATTACTTTTATATGTTTTAGAATGTAATTATTTATTGTACTGTTTGTTTCCCTTGAAAAGCTAATAAATAAATAAAATAAATAAATATTTCAATGGGGCAAAATTTTGCCTTTTTCTCCCGCCAGATGTGGCGATCAGTATATCCGCAGTATATTGTAAAGCTCTATAGCGTGAATGGAATTTCTTTCATTTTATTTAAATTTTAATTAAAATGACAAATTGTATAGTACCAGGATCCAAAAAAATCCTTGTCATCATTTTTTCCCAAAAGACAAAAACTGAAGAAATTGTGGGCTAAAGCAATAAGACGACCAAAATTGACGAAATTACAATCTTTATATTTACGACTACGTGAACATCATTTTACAGAAAGTGATTTTAAAACTCTTTAATCGTCGATAGGTGAATATTTTTATTTTTTTCTTTCATCCCCCATTTTACCACCTTAAGGGATTGAATTTAGAAAAATATTTAATTGTATTTAAGTACTTCAATAGCAAGTTACAAGTAATTCTGATCATAAATTATTCTTTGCCCATATAAACTTTATTACCCTTTTTTATCCTGAATGATCGAAGAATTTAGAAAAAAATAAATATATATTTCTTATTTTTTATTATAAAGTTATATAAATACCACTTTCTGTGTTATAAACATTAAAAATGACAGAGTTTCACACAATCTTTAAACCCCTAATTAACCCACTTAGGAGATGAATTTTAATAAATTCTTTCTTATCGGATGCCTAAATCATATAAGGAATACGTCCTCCAAATTTAACTTATTAAAAATATTTGACTACAGTAACTTCATAGGCAAGTTTACGAACGAATATGTACTGTCATATGTCATATGTCGGGAACTGGTTTGACAGATAAATCATAAATAGTAAACAATAAATATAACCTCAAAAATAAACCTTGAAAGTGTATTAACTGAAAATACTTAATAGTTTTATTTTGAAATAAGCCATTAAAATGAATAGTATTAAAAGTCTCGAAAAAGAGATATTAGATTTAAAAGAAATATTGAGACAAAAGGAGCAAGAATTATTAAAATTAAAAACAAACTTGCCGCCGGTGAGATAAATTGATCATTTTATAGTGAATTTTAAGTTATGATAACATACTTTTTGAGATTATAAATCTAATGAAGTATATTGTTTTCTTCTTTATTAAAAACATAACATATTAAGAGTTCATCACAAAAAACTAAAGCGATACTAATAAAATTCATAACTAATGTAGGTATAAAAAGTTTAATAGCTATATTTATTATGTCATGCACAATTTGGAGTATATTATTTTTTATTTTGTGAAGTTGTTTTTATTGATAATATATTATTCATAAACATTGATAACAATGTTATTTGACTTGTCTTTTTGATTTTTTAAACAGGTTGAAGACAATGCAATGAACAGTTCTGGCCTAAGCTTTGAAAATAAAAATCATGCTCAAGTTAAATTTGGAGATATTTTACCTAAATGGGCAATAGAAAGGTATATAACTTATTATTTCAATTTATCCATATAAAAATGTGGAACATTTTTTGATATACAAAATAGTTGATAAATATGAATTTTAGATAATGTCTCTGACCTCTGTGTTGTATTCAGCCCTTTTTAACATCTCACAGCTGGGGGTGGGCCTCACTTCAATACAAGGGGATCAGGTCATAGCCCACCATGCTGGTCATGTGCGTGTTGGCAGACTGCACTGTCATGTTGTCCTTCACCATAAGACAAGTGGTAATCATCTTGGAAAATGATTCGAACAATATCAGAGGTGCGAGACCCGGGATTTGAACTCGCTACCACCTACTTTACCACTGAGCTACCATTGCCCGATCTCTGTGTGCCTATTGGTAAAAGCTGCCTCCAACTTTCGCCATTGAGATCTATTCGATCATCATCTATTACTATATACATGTAATAGCTTAGTTTTTATGAATAAAGATGTGGAAACATACTTTCAATTTCGTAGTATTCTACCATATTATGCATTTTTATAATAATTAAACCTTATGACTTTAGGTATAGCCGTCAGATACTTCTGCCGGATATTGGTGTACAGGGGCAGGAACAGTTGATGTCATCAAGAGTGCTAATAGTGGGGGCAGGGGGCTTAGGATGTCCTTCTGCTGTTTATCTGGCTGGAGCTGGTGTTGGTAAGTTCTCGCAGTCATGAGGATCATGAGGAGTTGTTATTTTTGGATATTCAAATGAATTGTTTGATCGTAAATTAAAATTGGTAAATTAAAACTGTTTATATTTATCTGGTTTTGACATCTATTGGCACTCTTAAGTGTTAGCGTTAACACGTCACGTGACCATGTCAATAACGACTCACATGAATTTACTCTCCTTACAAACAAACTTACCTATACAAGGTTTCACTTCAAAAAAATAACTAGTATAATAAAATCAGTCGCCCACGTAGTGGCACGTAGTCCTGGAATACGTAGAGGTAATTTCTCAACGCGATAAAATCTTCGGACCAATGAGGTCGCTTCGCAAAGCCTGTGAAGTTCTCAGGAAACTTCTGAATATTTGGACAGATTTAGACTGTCTGAACTAGACAGGATTCCCCACTTACAGCGGCACAAATGAGGTTCTAAGTACGGGTAACGAGTGCGATTTACATTACATTACAACTAGTATAATAAAGGCAGTATTTTTTTTAGAATAAATTTCTCTTGGAATATTAGCATTTTTGGCTTGGGAGTTGTTGTGATATCATGTAACATCTATACTTTAATATTATAAAGAGACAAGAGTTTGTTTGTTTGAACGCGCTAATCTCAGGAACTACTAATTCGATTTCAAAAATTCTTTTTGCATTAGATAGCCCGTTTATAGGTTCTATTTCATATAATATATACTTAGTTTATCTATCTCATACTAACCGTTAAAACGTATCTAGGGACGAACCCCATCGAAGCGAGAGTGAGTCGCTAGTATACATAAAAATATGCCTACTAATGCACTTGTACTAATATGTAAAATAATATGTAATTCATTTTATGTTTAGGAGAAATAGGTATAGTAGACTATGACCAAGTGGATGTGACAAACATTCACAGGCAGATATTGCACAGTGAGAGCGACCAGGGTATAAGTAAAGCGGAATCTGCAGCAAATAGCTTAAGAAGGTATTTGTTTTATTTTTAATGACAATTTTTATGTTACATCTTATGATGTGACTAAGACTAAGACTAAGACTATAGTCTATCTATGTGCCAAATTTCATCCAGATCCGTTCAGCCGTTCTAGCATGATTGAGTAACAAACATCCATTCAAACTTTCGCATTTATAATATTAGCATGGATTTTTAAACTGTGGAATTATAATTTTTTTCAGTATTAACTCTAAAATTAAGGTAACTCCATACAATATAGATCTGAATCCACAGAATGCTATAAAAATAGCGTCAAAATACAACCTAATATTGGACTGCACAGACAATGTGCCCACACGGTATATGTTGAGTGACGTCAGTGTTTTAACAAAGGTGAGAAAATGGAGAAATTTCTTTTGTTTGACAATATATTTATTTAGAAAACAAGATATTTATTTTCACGACACGTTTTACTCAGTTTGTAGTGATCCTACTTGCTGTGCCAGCGGTCGCGGGTTCGAGTCCTGCTGGGGGCATTCGTTTGTGTGATGAGCACGAATGTTTGTACTCCAGTCATGGGTGTTTATATTTATAATATGTATGTATTTAAAGTTATATATATTCCTAATAATCCCGACTTATAGTCTTATATATATGTAGTGTATTAACTATCTGGTATCCATAATCCAAGCCTCGTAGCTTACCATGGAACTAGATGGTGCTGTGTGTTAATGTACCAACATACTTATTTATTTAGTGTTAAGTATATTAACAATAGGTATATTATAGTTTTTTATTTTATTTAATTTTACAGATCCCTTTAATATCTGGAAGTGCCCTAAAAATGGAAGGCCAATTAACAATATATGGGTATAGAGAGCGAGGGAATGTTAGTAAAAAGTATATTTTGTATTATTCTTGTTTTTTTTTTTTTTTAAAAGGCCTAATAGTGCTAGAAGATATTCCGCCTATAAGGAAAGATATTTTGAAGTTATCGTAAATTTTTTTCTTGTATGTATGTATTTAGCCCTTTTTAACGTCCCACTGCTGGGCACGGGCCTCCCTTCAGTATGATCGGGATCAGGCCATAGTCCACCACGCTGGCCAAGTACGGGTTGGCGGACTTCACATGTCTTTTGAAAACTTGCTAGGTTCTCTCAGATATGCAGGTTTCCTCACGATGTTTTCCTTCGCCGTTAAGACAAGTGGTAATCATGTTGGAAATGATTCGCACATGAGAATATTAGAGGTGCGAGACCCGGGATTTGAACCCGCTTCACTCGGTTTCCCAAGCGAGCGCGTTACCACTGGGCTACCACTGCCACTTTTTTTTCTTACTTTAAAATTATTGTTTTTTTCCACTCCCAAGGGTGAACTTTTTTTAAAATGTGAGTAACTACACGGTACATAAATAAATTAAAAAAAAAATACGCCACTCATTGTGGAATTATTTGTTAAGTTGTTATAACTCTTATTAAACAACTACGGAAAAGTCTAAAGAAAGGGTTTTGTTTTATAAGATTGTGTATGTGTGTATGTTTGTCTTTATGCATTCCACCGTAGCACCTAAACTATTAAAGGGTTATTTTTTTTACTATCATATTTTATTTTTCCTTTAATAATACTTATTTTATTATTACGTAGGATAACAAATTTTCTAAACTTTTTAAAGTTATATTTCTTTTAGAACGTTTAGGAAAAAAAATGAGAGTAAAATTTTTACGATGCGCGCGCACACCGACAGCCAAAAAGCGACATGATGATTTTAGCTGCTCTCCTTTTCCAAACAGAGAGTTGTGACATACGGGATGAAATCTTTAGCTATTTTTGTTCTGTTACGCCAAAGGAGTATAACTTCTCGTGCGTACATAAGTACATACACACACGCTTTTTTTACTTCTTTGAAGTTATTATTTTTTTTCATCCAGGACCAACCCTATATAGGTCCTTGCTACAGGTGTATATTCCCAACACCCCCACCCCCAGAAGCTGTGGGCAGTTGCTCTGCAAATGGCGTGGCGGGTCCCGTGCCTGGCGTCATAGGTATTATGTTCTTTTATTTAATACTTTCTTCAATCTACGCGAATATTTAATATCTTTACAGATAAATAAAATTAAAGTGTCTGTTTGTAATGTCAAAATAACCATTTCTTTTTTAAAAATATTCCACCCCAATGGTGGATTTTTGTTTTTTTAATTTTTTAAGTGACCTTGAAGTAAAATAATAAGCGTGTTTTTAATTTTTTTTGTTTTTTTTTTTCAGGTACATTACAAGCGTTAGAAGCTATTAAGTTTTTGGTGGGACAAACGCACAAACAGTTATTAGTGGGACGAATGTTGTTGTTTGATGGCGAAGATATGACTTTCAGAACTGGTATGTATGAGATGTAGTTTTAAAAGGGAATTTGGTTTTAAATAAAACTATCTTTTCAGATTTTTTCGTGGATTTATTTTTATTGTTGGTTCTCGACGTTTCGAATGCTTTGTGTATATGTTTATATACACAGTCGACTCTGATACTTAATAATAAATACATATACATTTTTTTTGGGTTTTTTTTTTTCAGTGAAACTCCGCGGTCGTAACCTACAATGCGACATTTGTTCGGAAACACCAAAAATAACGAAATTGTTAAATTACGAAGTGCTTTGTAATTCTCAAGCGAAGGAAAAGGTATGTGTGAAGCAGAGTTAAGGCCGAAACAGATTTTTTTTGAAACTAAACTTATAAATATAAGACTTTGTTACTTTAAACTGCTGGGCGTTACACTGCTGGCCGTGGACGTCCCTTCAATACGAGTTTTACCAGACACAGTCCACCACGTTGGGCAAGTGCGGGCGGACTGAGGATGTCTGCAGACAACTTGCTAGGTTCTCTCAGATATGTAGGTTTCCACACGATGCTCTCCTTCACCGTAATACAAGTGGTGATCATGTTGGGAATGATACGCACGTGAGAATATCAGGGTGCGAGACCCGGGATTAGAACCCGCTTCACTCGGTGTCCCAAGAGGGCTCGTTACCACTGAGCTAACATAGCGTTACCCTAGTAAGAAACGCAAAAAAATTTTAAACAACTAGTTACAGAAATTACCGTGCTCAAACAAACAAACAAGAAAACAAAAAATCTTTTCAACTTATTAAAACAAGTATAAATGATATTATATTAGTTAAAATATAACATTTAAAGTGATACTTTTTTTTTATTTTTTTTAGGACCTCGACCTTCATATACTTGAAAAAGACCATCGAATTTCAGCCGTAGATCTGTCAAAAGATATGAAAAATAATAAACTAATAGACGTACGAAGTGAATATGAGTTCAAAATGTGTAAATTGGAAGGTTCTGTGAACTATCCGTTGGAAAAGTTGCATCAAGAAGTGCTCAATGTGTTGGTGGATAAAGTAAGGAAGTCTAAGAGTCAAGGTGAATTGTTCAAAGTATTATATTTATATAACAGTATTTTTTTCTAAATTTCAAAAAATTACAGGAACAAACACACACACTGTGCCAGCGGTCGCGGGTTCAAGTCCCGTTGGGGGCATTTATTTGTGTGATGAGCACGAATCTTAGTACTCCAGTCAGGGGTGTTTATATTTATAATATGTATGTATTTAAAGTTATATATGTTTAGTGTATCAACTATCTGGTATTCATAACACATGCCTCGTAGCTTACCATAGAACTAGATGGTCCCAACATATTTATTATTATTTATTTATTTTATGTTTAGAAAAACAATATTTCTATTATTTTTCAGTTACATTCATCTGCAGACGAGGGAATGATTCTCAAGTTGCAGCCAAAATGGTTTTAGATCTCATAGAAGAAAAACACAGATATAAAATTAAAGATCTCACCGGAGGTTTACACGCTTGGTCCAAATATGTTGATGATGATTTTCCTATATATTAATACTAGGTACATTTTAATTCTTTCGAGCGGAACCCTAATTCATTTTCTTAAATAAAAGCAGCCTAAGTTACTCCTTATAATATCAGCTATTTTACAGTGAAAGTTCCGTCAAAATCAGTTGTTTCGGAGATTAGCCGGAATAAAAAGGCAGACATTTTTTAAAATTTGTGTGTTTTCGTGAGTGCTGTATATAATTTTATGTGCATTTAAAAAAACGCTGTTATTTTGACATTACAAACAGATACTTCAGTTTTATTATACAAGTATTTTTCTATAGATTATCTACATATATTATACAAAAATATATAGAAAAACGAACTTTTTCTTTTTAAAGTCGGTTAAAACATCTATAGCAAAGAGTATTATATTATATTATTGTTATATGTAAATATTTTTCTAATAAAATTATTTAAGGAAGACTTTTTTGTATTTTCTAAACATTTTGTATTGATATCAACTTGTCTCGAAATTCGTCCATAACCATTATTAAAAACTAGCGATTTACCCTTGCTTCGCTTCGGATTCATCCCTAGATAAAAACAAATCTATCCCACGGGAACCGTACATTTTTCCGGGATAAAAAGTAGCCTGTATGTTATTCCAGACTATAGTTTATTTCTGTGAGAAATCTCATCCCGATCCGTTCAGCCGTTCTGGCGTGATTGAGTAACAAACATCCAAACATCCTCATAAACTTTCACATTTATAATATTAACTGGCGACTCACCCTCTCCGCTCAGGTTTGTCCCTAGGTAAGTTTTAACGGTTAGTATAGATTTCTCCGAGATGAAATATTTGTGTAAGTGGTTTTTCTGTGATGCGGTAACAGACAGACAGATAAAAATTCTAAAAACTATAGGTTCAGCCTCTATATCGATAATAATGTTTATTTTAATAAGATTTTTCAAAAAATATTTAATGTACAGATTCGGCTTACTTACAATTTTATTATAAGTATAGATTATAGATTATGAGTTGCAACATTGTTGCAAAAACTTAAAAGGTATATGTAATTGTAAGTATATTCGACTACCTCGGTGATGTAGGTTCCGAGTTCGAGTTTCGGGTAGAGCCAAGTTTAGATATTGGATTTTTCTATTATGAGATTCTCAGTATGTTGACTGTGTTACACTTTTATCCAGCACCTGATCTCACCGCGAGTGTGGATTTGTCTAACAGAGAGAAAAGAAAAGAGAGTATATTGTATGTGCGCTCTCCCTCTTACGTTACACCACAATTCTCGGCAGATTCAATTAATCATTCTATTTATTGAAGAAATAAATATATCTAATATTGATTGATTGATTAATTATGATAAAATGTTGTTATTTAACTACTTAGGTAACATATTATGACAAAGTTTTTGGATTGATGTTTCCATAGATAGGTACTGAATAAATAAACCGATTTGATTTTACATTAGAACCCAAAACTCTTTGTGGTAGAAGAAGTAGGTGTGTTTTTTCCATGTTTGGTTTTTCATGGGATTACAAACTTAATAAAAGTAAAAATAACTTTTTAAATCAATCGATTGTATTTCTTTTACTTCAAAATTTTTATTAATTTAAGTGTCATACAAGTGCTTAATGAATGGCTATGTATGTTTTGCAACACACACAACTTATGTCAAAAAATTTACATTTGCCAAATTGCGTGCGTGAGTTTCGAAATGGTAACATAAATGTACGGCTTGGAAAATTTTATTTGTTTTCAAGGAAGTGCTTGACAAAGTATAATCCTTTAAATTCGACCACAGCATCCACATGAAGCTCGTCCTCCAATATTGGCTAATAGATTGCAGCCGCAAGCTGAACGAGACAGACCAGCATCATAACCGAGGGCACCAGAGCCATATCCTAAAGCTCCAGCCCCATAGCCCAAGCCCAGGGCTCCAGCTCCATAACCTAGGGCTCCAGCTCCATATCCATATCCTAAGCCTCCAATGCCGGCACCAGATATATCTTCGGATAAAATACCAACTTGTCCATTACCACAACTATAAGCAACAGCACCAGCGCCCGCAGTGGGCAGGACACCTTCCAGAGCCACTGTTCCCAAGAATGGCAATGCGCCGAGAACTTCTAAACCGCCTTCGTAAACATTCTCCGACAGCAAAGACACACCATTGGGAGCGATAGGGGATGCACTTGTAGTTGGCAGACAACCTCCACTCGAAGCGGCAGACGCGCCAATACCGTACGAACTGCCTATCTGATAATTACCAATACCGGCACCGCAAGGAGAAGGGTAAGCAATACCAGGACCATCATAAGACCCAAGTCCAGCACACGGAGCAGCCAAACGATTATATGAACCGATGCATTGTGCGGCTATACACTGTAATAAATAATTAATTACTTTATTTACAATAAAGGACATTGCAAATATACTTAATTATATATACAAAACTACGCTGAATGGCAATGCCGATTCTTTGGGCGAAAACGAAAGTAGAAAGTCGAGGTGTTACGTTTTTTAAGAAGTGTTTAGCAATTTAATAATAATAAATTGTTTTTGTTTTCTGAAATACTGCAGAAAATGAGGAAAAAGTCACGTGGTAGGTCACGTAGTAAGTCTGTCACGTAATATGCCGTAGTGATATAAGACTATATGACCAGACAGGTCTACATTACCTGGATCAGTGCAATCCACAATGATATGTTGACGATTGGCCTAACGCCAGAAATGACGCAAAATCGCCAAGAGAGGCGTAAAAGTATCAGAAGGGCTGATCTTAAATAGGAAAATTAATAAATATGTTGGGGCATCAACACACAGCACCATCTAGTTCCATGGTAAGCTACGAGGCCTGTGTTATGGATAGCAGATAGTTGATACACTACATATATATAACTTTAAATACATACATATTATGAATATAAACACCCATGACTGAATGATCACACAAATGAATGCCCTCAGCGGGACTCGAACCCGCGACCGCTGACGCAGCAAGTAGGGTCACTACAAACTGAGCCAAACGTGTCGGGAAAAAGCCAAGGGATTGATTGTTAAAATAAAAAAAACCATGCGTAAAAGGTAAATTTTAAAATGTATATTTACTTTACAAGAAAATATCAACAACTTACGTGAATAAGGGCCGCTTGAGCACAGACAATAAGAAAAGCTTTAGACATCTTGCTGTATTTGGTCAGATACCGACTGGCGAATGGTTTCTTAGAAATAACCATGAGTTTTTATATTTAAAATGACTCAATTATTATCAGTGCATATGATGAAAATTTACAAATGCATAAATATCACAAAAATGTACGTGATGTCCAATTCCACTATTTTTATTTTTCACTGATATATAATAACAAAACAGTAGGTTACTATGCAAAATAGCATGATATTGCTTTTTAGGGTTCCGTACCCAAAGGGTGCCAACGGAACCCTATTACTAAGCCTCCGTTGTCCGTCCGTCCGTATATCAGAGGGCTGTATCTCATGAACCGTAGTAGATACAGAGTTGAAATTTACATATAGTGTGTATTTCTATTGCCGTTGTTATTTATTTTATTAGTTGTTGTTATCGACAAGTAATAAAATAAATAAAAAATGAAAATACAAGCAACATTCTTTTAACGTTCGCAATCTATCATCGAAGTCAATATACTACATACATAGAGTAAAACTCATATTAATAAAACGTACAAGTACGATAGTACGGAACCCTTCGTGTGCGGATTCGACTCACACTTGACCGACTTTTATTTTAAATAGATAGGCAACGTTTGGATCTTGCAAAATATTGATAGCACTAAAGGCTCGATAATACGTCTAGTATAAAACCACAGCATTGCTTTGTAAGCCATTGTGTCAGAGAAGTCTCCTGTTTACTTATACATACGTCAATTAGTAAAAAGCCTTAAAAATGAAGAGTTTTTCATTCTTTTTATTATGTGTTCAGATTTGCTTGGTTCAGGTAAGCTAATAGATAATAAATTAATATAAAAAAAATTAAACAAGCTTTAAATTGTGCAGTAAATATATAGGTTTGGTATAATTTAAAGTTAATTTTTTAGTTATTTATTCGTATTCCTCTCAGCAAACCCTTGCACTCGACATCCATATCATGGGGGTGCATAAAAAACATATTCCGCCATTTTTGGGAGTCCGCCATGTCGGATTTAGAATAACGTCACTTATATAGCCATGCATTCTTATCCAAACTAAACGTGTAGGCAACATTTGAGCTCAATCGGTTAAGGATAATTTAAAAAAAAACTGTTGCAGACATACATACAAACATTACAAGTTTAATAAAGGCTTGTAAACATGATACTAGTTGATGTTTATGAACATTTTCTTAACAGTCTCTATGTTCATAGGATGTGTTCAGTCAGTGCTTATCGACTGCTGGTCCAGCTGCTATCGGCTATGGTGCTGGTCTCTGGGGTTCCAGGGGTTGCGGTCTAAATTCCGGACTTTCTTCTATTGGAGCGTATGGTCTAGACGGTATTGCAGGTCCTGGAGCTGGTCTGCTCGCTTGGGATTCTGACTACGGCTTATCCTCAGCAGCTTACGGTGGCTCTGGCAGCGGTGATGTATTAGTGCTTGGGCAACTGCCCGCTGCTGGTTCCACACTGGTCGGTGGACAGGTGCCCATCCTGGGCTCTGTTTGTTTCGATGGAGCTGTCCCTGCTGCTGGGTCGGTTTGCATCGCTGGCAGTTGTGGTTGCGGATGCAATGGTTACTACTAGAAACCTTTCAAACGCTGGATCTGAATGAAAAAATATGTGTACAAATTACAATTAAAAAAATTCTTTTGCATAACATTTCGTTATTTATTTATTTATAGACTGTAAAATGAAAGGAATCAGTTTTTTAACAAAGTATATTTAATAGAATTATGCAAGCAAATCTATCTCTTGATGATTTTAAATTAATATTCTATAAAAATCTATTTTAAGCAGAACATTTTAAAGATCGGATCCTCCATGGGACATATTATACAAAATTCACATTAATTAAAAATGAATTTAATTTGAAAC